AGCTTCATTTATTTATTTAATAATAGTAAAATAATTCCGAAATTGAAATTTTAATTAATATTTCGTTTAACAATAATTTTTGTGACATTTTTGTAAATTAAAAAAAAATTAAGTATAAAAGATGCATTTTTTCTGGGGTCCAGGGCTTTACGAATTCGTAAATATGCTCATTGTTGTTTTTCGTCGAGCTACCCCAGTTTCTACGCTGGAGAGACGAAACGTTACATGTAAAAATTGATTATGCCATTCGATAGAGGGCAAAAAGTGACCATGAGGAAGTGTTCTTCTTTTTTCAATATCACCTCAAACAAGGCTGAAATTAAACAAAAACGGATTTCCAAAAATTTCGTTTTTTTTTTCAAATATTTCGAAAACTACTCATGTTAGCTTTGATTTTTTAGAGGCATTATGTTGGTCCCCTGATTCCGTAACTTTGCCCCCATTTAAGCTAGTTTGTATCTCTTACCGTTTCCGAGATCCCTGTAGCGGGAAGCGAATTTGTAACAGCCTATATAAAATGCCAGTATGGCTAAAACCACACTCATCCGTCCACAACACTTTCTTAATAAAGTTTGGATCTGCTGCATTTTGAATTTGTAACCAATTGCAAAATTCAAGATAACTAGAAAATCAGCTGTTTCGTTTTAACGTTGGATCCACTGGCATGTTCCTGGTCAGAAAATACATATAATGCTAAGTAGGGCATCGAATTAGTGGAAGTGAATGCTTGTCTTTTAAAATTAATGACATTATGACTAAACCACCCTGTATAATTTTTCTTTTAAGTAAGGCAAAATGTTCAATTAAATAAAAAAGTATCAAAAAATACCACAAACAAATAATATTAATTACAGCAAGAAAAGTAGTATTATTTTCACTCTCACTCACTTATCATTGTTCCAAACTTATTTCCGACTATTTTTCTATATGGTAAACGTAATATTTTTTAGTCCTCAAACCATTGCACCAAATCAAACCACCAATCGAAGAACGATACTAGAAAGGGTAGATACAGAAGGTTTAGTTGCAGACGAATCTGTTTACAAGGAAAATAATAATACTCTTCAGGTGAAATTGGAAAATAAATGTAAAGAAAATTTAAGGGAAAGCATTATTTGCAAGATAGACTTACACCTCTTAAGAAATGAAAATTTGAGTGACAAAAAAGAAGCAGAGGCAGAAGTAAATGAAGTCAAGAAACGTCAAAATACTGCAGCATCTGACAAGTTAAAAAAACCTGTAGAAAGAAGCCGCCCAAGGTTAAAAATTTATAATTGCCAGCAATGTGATTTCCAAACTATTTTTAAAGAAACGCTAAAACTACACGAGTGGAAGCACGAGGCTGATTCGAGAGTACCAAAGTACAAATGTGGAAGTTGTTCTTACGAAACGAGATACTGGAACAGTTTAAAATTGCACAAATTAATCCACAAACATTGTTGGGAACTGCATTTGCGCAAATGTAATTTGTGTCCCTATCGAACCAAATATAGATCGTCGCTGGAGGCGCACAAACGAAAGCACGAAAATTTTAAGAAAACGCCTGAAGATACTGTATCAAGGCGCAAAAGTACCAAAGTACAAAGCTGTACATGTCAAAGGTGTAACCCTACAACGGGAAATGAAAATTCTTCGAAGCTTCACAATTTGAACTATAAACATCTTTTTGAAATGCAAATGAAATGTAATTTGTGCTCATACCAAACTAAGCACAAACCTGCTCTTGAACTGCATATGTCAAAGCACAAAAGTAATTTGGAGAAACAGATGTACAAAAGTACACTTACTTCGAATTCGAGTGAATGGAGGCCCGAAAATAGACGTGAAAAATCTAGTTCCAAAATAGAACATCGAAATTTTCCGCAACCTCACAAACCAGACGGTAAACAACTTGCCGAAATAAAAGCATTCAGATGCGATTTGTGTCGCTTTGAAGCCAAGCGCAAAGCGACCATTGAACTGCATATGTCTCGACATATAAGTGCTTTACGTATACGAACAAACTAGCGGGGATGGACGTTAGTCTAACTCTAAGTTTACTCTGAAGTCGGCTAAAGATTTTTGCATACAATGTCAAAATGAATTTGTTTTACTGTTAGAATATAAAATGTTTATACTGTTTATCAAACTGTTTTTTTATAGCCACTTTTAAGTTTGTCTCATTAGTATATTACAAAACATAAAAATAAAATTTTTTGAGAAAGTAGTTATTTTTTTATTCGTTTTGTAAAAGACAAGATTATAACTGTAACCATACATTTTTGAAAACGTTTTATAAATTCTACATTAATAACTTGCTTGTATTAAAAATGGCAGTATAATATTTGTAAAACTTTAAAAAGTATGATGCTAGTGCATATTCATGAGAAAGCACTTTTCATAAAATAATTTATGTGACAAATTATCTAATTATACAACTTTCATGAAGAAATTTCAAATGTAATTTGAAAAATTTGATAAATTCGATATTTTTCTCAATTATTATTTATTCGTAGTTATAGCAGTACACCCTGCAAAAGGTACAGAACCTTCATAAATGATTACAAGCCACACGACAAGTAATTTTCCTTCACGTCGCCAATTAAATTTCGGTATAATTAAAACAGATCAAAACTACATTAAAACAAAAAATTCCGTTTAACCAGTTATGGTTCAATCCGCGTCAGCGTTTGTCTTTGTTCATTGTAAACGAATGATTAATATTGATGACGCTAAGATTTAGAGATTTCTAGTTGACAGTATGTCGTGAAATGTTCGGTGGTCACATGGCTTGTAATTTATGAAGGCTTTGAATGTGAGAAGCGTAAATCATATTACAAATTGAGACATATAGGTAAAATTCTTTAATAAAATTTACTCTCGTGATAAAAGCTCTGTGTAGAATTTTTAACTTTCCCATTATTTAATTTGGCACTAGGATATTTATGTGCGATATTATTAGTTTTTGTTAAATATAGTCTCCAGGATCAGTTTTCACAAGGTTTTTTTTAAATAAATTTAAAATACATTTACATTACGAATAAACCATTTTGGTAGAGAACAAAATACAAAATAAAATTGATATACTACTCAAATGTAGGCATAATGTTGGTGAATATGGAATAACTGAGGAATATAATAATCTGCAATACATAATGATCCACAATCGGTAAAAGTAATAATAATTTAATAATCAGTTAGGAACTGATTTGAATTTGAATTATATTAGTTCAATTCTATAGTAATGACAGCTTAAAGAACAATTGTTTTAAGTTGCAGAAGCGTCCACTTGTTCACTAATCTCGACACAAGCAACAAAAAATAATGGCAACTAGCACTGGCAAAATGAAAATTCATAAGCCTGGGAGGATAAACTAACCATACGGCTTATTTTCACAACTGAATATTGGTGAATATCTGACACAGTTTACTATTTTTATCTCATTTGATTTTAGTTGCCATCATTCTAATCTGTGGTTGCCATATGGTAGTTTAAATCTCTTCATTCTGTCATCTCGTGAAAAAAAGCCTAAAGACGTGTTCGTTTGTTCGTTATTAACTTATTAACATCCAGGAGAGCACCTGGACCAGAGAGTCTTTCGATTTGGCAACAATAGTACCTATCAGCAGCTAATATAGCAACTTAGAGTTACTCTGAACTGATATTAGTTTCTATTAGGTACAATTTTTGCCAAAACGAAAGCATCCCAGGTGCTCTAGATATTGCTCTTTGTCATCGTCATTTCAGCTGTTACGATTAGAAGAGGACAGCAACAAGCTCAAGCTAAGGTGTTTTCGTTTTGACAAAGATAGAATCTATTAGTCGTTGCCACGAATTGTATATCAATTCTTGGGCTATTGCAGCTATTGGAAACTCCGAGCAAAAAAACTGTGATCGTCAGTTAAAAATATTGCAGTTCTTGTCACTCAAGGTTCCACCTTGGAGAAACTCAACAATCTCTGTTTCCAACGTCCATGGATGACGTTTTTCCCGCGATTGTCCATTTGTTTTGAAGCTCTGGGATTCAGTTAAGTTTCTGAGGTTATGTTGTAACAATTTTTTTTAAATGTTCTACAAAAATGGGTAATGAGGGAAACCTTTTGTGCTCCTTATGCCTTTGTCCGATTTGGGATAAAAACGCTGAAGAAATAGGGGACACTACAAAAGAAATCTTTGATGTCATTTTCGTAAATAAGGTACGCACTTTCCTCCTTTCAGTTTTTGTTTGTTATTCGATAAACTGATTCCTACATTTTTCTTGCTCCCTTAATCTAGAAGTAGACGGTGATGAGGAGAGAAAAGTATTAGGCTTCTATGTAAATAATTCATCTGACTAAATTATTTCTACATTATGTACATAGTATTTGTACTAAACAAATTTTGCCACATTCAAACTGTAGTTTAAAACTCTCACCGTGCAAAATCAGTCCAAATTTGTACAGTACGTACCTCATTGGACTATCATAATCGTGTAGCATCTTTTGTGTAGCCTATGCAATCAAAAGTTAGGTTATGTTTATAACATAAACATATAATAAATTATAAGTAGCTTGGTAAATAAATACGAGTTCTGCTGGAAATGAACACATATCAACATTTTAATGGTCATGATTTTGAGACGTATCTTACTTGCAGAATTTGTGGTTGGACAAGGGGCAACCAATATGCCAACTTTGTTCAAGAAAAATCCAAGACAGCTTCAGTTTTAAGTGTAATTGCATTTACACGGAGGATTTCTTAGTGCCTTTTGTATCTGCTGTAGGGGGTTCACAAATCAATTTGATGGACATATTTAAAGGGAATGTGAAAAGTGAAAAGGAAATCCGAGATAATCAAAAAGTGTGTAGACTATGTCTGCAAATAATTGCCGGACCTGTCAATTCACTTCTCGTGGAAACTGAGTTTGATTTGATTCAGAAATTTATGCCGGAAATAGTAAGTACTTACATTATTTTTCACAAAGAATCTTTTAATATATCGTGGGGTTAGAACAGAACTATCCTAAGTCCAATATTAGCGAAATTGAGTTAAGCTCATATTATCTAATCTAAACATTGAAACTATCTGCTACAGAAGTATTTTAAGTCCATGACTTGAATGTGTATAAACAGTATAACAGTATAAACTAATAAATTAGTTCATTTGGACAACGAATAATATTCATTCACAACTTTTAATATTGATTACTGAAAATTCATCAATTTGGACTTAAGCTAATTCTGTTCTAACCCCACGATATATTATGACAAAAAACGATCAAAGAGCCATGTTACCAATTGCGGTTTTTTCAAGATGATTCACAATACATCGGATCCCGTGGCCTGCGAAGCTTGTACTAAACAACTACACAATTTTGCTTCTTTTATAATCGATTGTGTAAGTGTTCACGAAAAGAAAAATAAAAGACATAAGAATGACTCCACATATATCAATAAAGGAACGTTATCGACTGATGGGTACAAAAACGTTGAAGAAAGGTCAGGAATAGAGAAATGCGATTTAAATCTGAATATTAAGAATGAAGATTGTAGGGAAGAAAATCAATATATACCGGCAATTAACGATTCCAATTTTTATATCAAAAATGCAGGAGTCATGACTCATACAGGACAGTATTATAATAGAAGGTAAGGAATTTATTATAAAATGTTATATAAAGTTAAATTCCGTTACATGCCACTACAATTTAATATATTATTACACCACTGTTTCCTCGTAAATAATAAAATAATATATCGGTGTAAACTAGAATAAATGAAAAATTCCAGTTATTAATAAGCTTGGTATCTCGATGTAAATATTTTTATTTAAAATCATTTCAAATATTTAAAATTGCCATATTGTACATGTATATATATTTTTCTGCATTAAGGGTATTTGTGGGTATAATTAAATCGTCCCAATCCATCAATATAAATGTGAGATAGCCAAGTGATGCAGCACTTTTCTGGTCGCCCCGTTGCTGAGTACAGTCCCTTGTCTGACATCATCGATTTCTGTTGCTACGTCATCACGTTTTTCCTTAATACTTAGTTGCAAAATAAATTATTTGTAGTGTTACTTAGTGTGAATTTATTATTTTTTTTTTTTGTTTAAAATACGTAAATCATGTGAACTGGTAAAACAACGAGAAAATAATTGTTAATTTAGTTCTAAAGAAATGAAATGACGTTCGCGTCAATCCGTCAAATCGGTTGTGTTTGTCGAATTCCTATTAGTCAAAATTCAAACTGTAGCCCTGTTATGAATGGGGCGTGATTTGGACTATTCTATCAACAAAAATAACACTATTTTTAACCGAACTTTATTTAATAAATATGAAGTTATACAATACCTAATTTTCTAAATATTCTATAAAGCCAAAAAATATACAGGGTGGGCCTTTAGTGAGAGAAAATAAAATAACTGCATTGTTATTCATAATACAGAAAAAAAGTTGTACAGAATAAAAAAACCTAAATGACAAAATTAATTTGAAACAGTGCGATGAGTAAAAACGGGACACGCCAAATATTACATTTTTTAAATGGAATACCCTGTATATTTTTAAACATATGGATTTCTGAGAAAATTCTGTATATGGCAATATAAACAGTCTAACATTTTAGTGCGGGGTTGCCAAGTTATGTAGAAAATTTTTCGAATTTTGGTAAAAACATGACTCCGAAGAAGTTGTATTAACTTTCAGCCACTAACACTTGGAGCAAAGATATTTGATAGCGTTATAGGCAAATGTTAGGCAAAGACTCCTATTTTAGCTAATAGCGATATTTTAAACAGGGCATTTTTTATAATACGATCATTTTAAGAAAGTTCAAACTTGATTTTCTAAAATTTTTCAAATGGAACACCCTGTATCTTATTGTTCTATTTTATTCACATATCAGCCCACTTCAACTTTCATTAAGTATGTTCTACACCTAAAGTTGTTAATTTTTAAGATATAGGAACATTTCTGGAAAAGCCCAATCTTTATTATTTTCGGTCGCAACAAATGGCTTTGGAAAAAACTGTCACATTGGGTCAACTTGTTAGTTCATAATTTATCATTCCATTTTGAGTTAATTTTATAAGTTAATATTTATTTGTGGTATCCTATAAAATAATAAAAATTAAGTTTTTTCAGAAAAAAATCTTAAAAATTAACAATTTTAGATATAGAACATGCTTAATAAAAGTTTAATTTGAAAAATTTTAGAAAATCAAGTTTAAACTTTCTTAAAATGATTGTATTGTAAAAAATGCCCTATATAAAATATAGATATTAGCTAATATAGGAGTTTTTGTCTAACATTTGCCTATAACTCTGTCTAATTATTTTGTTCCAAGTGTTAGTAGCTGAAAGTTAATACAACTTCTTCGAGGTAATGTTTTTTCCAAAATTCGAAGAATTTTGTACATAACTTGGCAACCCCACACTAAAATGATAAACCGTTTATATTGCTACATATAGAAATGTCTCAGAAATCCATATGTTTAAAAATATACAGGGTGTTCCATTTAAAAAATGTAATATTTGGCGTGTCCCGTTTTTACTCATCGCCATGTATGTTTCAAATTAATTTTGTAGTTTATGTTTCTTGATTCTGTATAACTTTTTGTCTGTATTACGAGTAACAAAGGAGTTATTTTACTTTCTCACACTAATGGCCCACCCTGTATGTATGGTGGAATTTTTTGTGTGGAGAACTCCACGATAGTTAAACAGTCAACATTACTGATTTTTGATCGACTTTGACATGGTTTTTTTGGTTTCATCATTAGAAAAATCCCATCCCAAAACATGTTGGATCGTTTGCATGGAGTCCAAGTTAGCTCGTTCAAACATGTCTTCAGCAACATGTTTGCAATGCTCTTACAATTAGAAAATTCAGCTTTTGGAAACGGAAGTGCTGCGACGGGTTTCGCACCCAAAACATCAAGTAAAATGGTGCGAACTGATTCGTGAGACATGTTTAGTTCATATGCCAGCTCTCTCAAACGATAATAACGGTTTGCAAGCACCATTTCCTTCATTTTATCATGAACTTTCGATCAATTAAATTTGTAAATGACCAATTCCGGATACTTTTTTGTCAATGTATATTTAATCAGAAGCGAGTATTTTTGGATACATTATTTGGAATTAAAGTTTGTTTCAGCATTTTGATTCCATCCTGTATAAGGTGTCCCATTTAAAAGTATGAATTTTTTGTGTTATATCTGAAAAGCAAAATGTTTAGAAAAAATATCACGTATTCCACTTGATCTAAGCAAAAAGTATATAAAAAAACCTCTGCAGAAATTTTAAAAATTATCTAATATGCTGTCTACTATAAGCCCTCTTATATCCTATGAATCTTGCTTAATACACGACGCACGTCAAAAATCTTTATATGTTTTTTGTTGCATTTTTTGAGGCCTTTATGCTCGTAAATGCAAATTTGAGATCCATGGCCAACTTTGTGAGTAGTCATAAAAAAAACGGAAAAGTACCGAAAGTTTAGGGTCGTCTAACTTTTTTATTTTAAGAGATAGAGAAAACTTATTTTAATCAAATTTCATGGCAAAATTGATACCTTTCACCTAGTGTAAACAGATTTTTAAAATATCGTATGTAATTTGCTGCGCCCTCTAGTGGCAGAGCTGGGTAATTACTTGTAATTTAAAAATTGTTACAATTACAAATTACTTTTTTAAAAAAGGAACTAATTACAATTACAAAGTATATTCTTTAAAAAAGGAATTATATTAATTTAATTACAGTTACATGGAAAATGGATTTAGCAATTACTTTTCTAATTACTTTTCTAATTACTTTTATGATAAAGTAAATTATAGTGACCAAACAGAGAAAAAGGAAAAAGTTAAGTTACAAATTTTAATTAAAAGTGTTGTGTAATATTGCGTTTTATTATTTATTAGAATTGATACTAAAATGAAAAGATTATTTTTATTCATTTTCTGATATAGAATTTTTATATTTTTATTCCTAATCTAATAATTTAAACTAGTTCAGTTCATACTATAATTTTATATTATTGGTCAGGTAATTAATTCAACCCGATGCTCTTTTTTTTGGTTGATAGTACATTTGCAAAATATAGAATACAGTAGTTTTGGGTAGACTTGAAAGCAATAATCATTATTAAAAAAATTACGAATCCAACAAGTACGAATGAAAGGCTGAGTAACCGAACCAGAAGTTTTCTCAACTCAAAATAAGAGCAGTAACACATAGATACATAATATATATTTTTATAAAACTTGATGCTATAGACAACATATTTTTACTTCGTATATTTTCTAAATTAATAATAATTATAATAAAATAAAATGTACTATGTTAATTCTGAGGTTAATTCACCAAATCACTTTTTATTGTTCACGCGGCACAAGGCTTTCCTCAAACGAAATAATAGAAGTCTGCAAGTCTGTACGCAATTACGCAATACGCATGATCTTAAAAGTAATTATAATTATTAGAAAAAGTAATTGTAATTGGAAAAAGTATTTGTACTTATAGAAGTAATTTGTAATTCGATAGTTCAAATAATATAATTACAAATTACAATTCCTATAACAATTTTGCTGCAATTACAATTCCAAATTACTTTAATAAAAAAAAGTATTTAAATACAATTACAATTACAGGAAAAAAAAGGGAATTGTAATTGCTAATTACTTTTTCACCAGGAATTACCCAGCTCTGCTACGTGGGCAAAAAAAAATTGTTATCGAAGCAGGCTGTGGCTACAAAAAATTGCTTGTTTTTTCCTCTTTAATGTGATATACTACATGTTACCTGTATCTTTTATATTTATTAAGTTTTTTATAATTTTGGTATAAAAAATGTAAACATTTTTGTGTTAACGTAGAAATTGTTGTAAACAAGTGTCAACTACAAAAAATTTAATAAATATAATGTACTTCTTTTAAGCAAAATACACACATTATTATAATATTGGTTTTTTACTTTAGAGAAAACCGAGTCTTCAATATTGTTCTTGTACAGACAAAGTAATCTACGCTAAATGTAGCATGCTATGAAAAGAAATGCGTTATCCCAGTAATGTCATCATTTAAAAAATTGTTTATTGTTATAGTTTATACATAACTGTTGGTTTGGAAATTGTTACAGTTAACTGTGATTTGAAAAACTAAAATTATGAATAATAATATTTTCACATATTGAGTGTTATATGTTTGTATCGTACTATCAATGCAATTTCAATTCTATTCAAGCACTTGCGGAATGTAGAAAACCTTCGTTAATAAAATCAGCTGTAATAAGAAATTTTCTTTATCTCTTAGAATTAAAAAGTTAGATGGCTTTAAACTTTCGGTACTTTTCTGTTTTTTTTTTATGATTTCTCGTAAAGTTGGCCATGGATCTCAAATTTGTTTTTACAAGCAACAAGGCCTCAAAAAATGCAACAAAGAACATATAAAGATTTTTGAAGTGCATCGTGTATTAAGTGAGATGCATAGGAGTGGCCCTCTTATAGTGGACAGCCTGTATATCTTAAATGAATTAGAATAAAATAAGTTACCAAAAATTATTATTTAACGAAATAGTAGAATTAACATTGAAACCTGCTAATTTGCTAGTTTCATAGTTGTTAAGTCTAAAATAGGAGAAAAAAACTAAAATATGATAAATGTTTCAGTCTATACCCCTTACCCTTATCACTGCCGATGCCTCAAGATGATAAGGACAGCATGAACCCATCGGTCTTCCAACACCGCTACAACGGAGAATATAAGCAAAAAGAAAGCGACGACGATAAATCCAGCGTACTGTACGATATGGACTTGCACATTGTGAAAACCGAAAAACTAAACCACAAACAACCGGAAGCAGAAATATGCAAAAGCAAATACCGGAATTGCATTAAAAAATTCCAGGATGCATCCAGGGCCAAATCGTACAAGTGCCAACACTGCTCCTACCACACGAAATACCTCAGCGCCCTCAAATCCCACTCCCTGAACCACACGTACCCGTCCAAAATGGAACTTTACGCCTGCGAGGAGTGCGACTACAAAACCAAACACCGGACCGCCCTCAAGTCGCACATGCTGAACCACGCGCACCCCTCGGAGATCGAATTTTACAGCTGCGACGAGTGCGACTATAAAACGAAACACCGCAACGCCCTCAAATCCCATAAGCTGAACCACGCGCACCCCTCGGAAATCGAACTGTACAGCTGCGACAAGTGCGACTACAAAACCAAGTACCGGAACGCCCTGAAATCGCACCAACTGAACCACAAGCCCCCCTCGGAGATCGAGATGCGCAAATGCAACCAGTGCTCGTACGAAACGAAGCACAGAACGGCGCTCGTGCTGCACATGCTCAAGCACAAAAGTCCGGGGGAGATACAGATGTATAGGTGTGATAAGTGCAAGTTCCAGACGAAGTTCAAACATGCGTTGAAGCCGCACAAGCTGAAACATAAGGGCGATACGTAGGCGCGTTGTTGGAGTTCGTTATAACGGGACGTACGTTGGAAACTGACTTTAAAGATGTGTCATTTTGTTAAGATGTAACCGTTTATGTTATGTAACAAATGAGCAAAATGATTATTTGACGGACGAACCTGTTTTTTGGAATATCCAGGACAGACCGACAAAGCGTTTTCTGTACGAGTTATATGCAGGAATCTCCTCTGTGAATGTGGCATTTCCCGGACCACTTTTGTTTCTCAAAACAATAATCTTTAGGAGTGTGAAAAATTGTTTATTCAATCACTTAAATCTTTACGTCGCTACTCAGAACGGGCGATGGCAAACGATATTATTTATTTCATTGTGCCTAATATTTTTGTATACTGACTTCATCCGCATAAAAAAGTAAAAAGTGTAATTTTTCACGAATAAGGTAATTTACATACCCTTCTCCCGCATAATCTACGACGGTTATGGGGACGTTGGGAATTTTGTAAATTGTTAACCTCTTAACGGGTTATAAGTGATATATGCAAATTTATAATCGCTTTTTAATGGTTATGACACACATTCGTTGCCAAATTTTTATAGGGGCGTTTCATGAATAATACGAATACATTCATTTGCCTTTCGGTCATATTCACATCCCAACCTTAGAACTACAATCCGACATATAATCCATATTTATAAAATAGCCTCTATCAAAAGCAGTTGGTTTTTGTCATTGAGATGAGATGTAACATGTTTAAAAGGAGGCGTTTGTCGATCAATTGAGACTTGAATTTGAGTGAAAATCCTGATTATTTAAAAAATTTTGCTAAAACTATTTACTTTTGAATTTTACACTTTTTGCACAGGTATAAATTCGCAATTCATACGACATACGTCATTACATTACAGCATTGAGAATAATGACATATAGCAGTTAAGAGGTTAAAAATATGGAGCGGTTTAAACTACAATAATAAATTAATTAATATTTCGTTAAAACACTTCCCATTATGAAATATTCCAGCGAATTCTCGAAATACAAGGTAATTCGCAAATAAATCGACGCAAGGCAGGTGTTTGTAGGGGATATGTTTTAATTCAATTATCGGTGTATACCAAGTTGCTTTGTTTAACGATTTGCGTTAAAGTTGGCAAAAAAAGAATTAAGATTAAAAGATGTAACTGAATGTTACATCTGCTGGATGGTGCTACTAACAAAGAGCAACCTGTATTGTGGGTACCACGGGCATAGCTCAAGGCTGAGGCCTCAAAAAAAAAAACACTGGTTTTGGATGATGGGGGCAGGAGGGCTGCCTACGCCCATGACGACCAGTGTTGCCACTATACGAGCAAAAGTAACATTAAATGATGATTTTACTAGATGTTACTTTACAATTCAAAGCTGGTTGGGGTAAATTGCATTTACAGAACTGAGAAAAATACCCATATCCTCAAGCAAATGCGCTCATATTTTTTTTTGGCGACGCCTACAATTCAATTATTATTTTTATCATAAACAGCTTTTTTCGAGTTCTCTCTATCTTGAAATTTTGTTTTATTTCCAAAATTTTTGGACACATTTCCAATATAGATCTGATTTGTCAAAAAAATTAATTTTTTTGCCAATAAAAATAAAATTAAGTTGGGAAATTTGTAATTCTCTTTTATGAACAATTTTAGAAATGGTGACCATTTTCAGCGACAGATAATTCAATTAAAAAAAATAGAAAAATAAATTATATGCGGTAGGGGTTTCGTAGGGAATTGATCTAATTTAATGCTATTCAAATAAACGCAATCACAGAAAATGATTTTTCGGATTGTTATGCCGTGAGCTGTGTATGTCGTACTTCTTTAGTTAGGAATCTTTGACCTGCTCTTGTCCTTGTTCTAGGTTCTGTGGGGGTTTTTTGTTGATTCTAAGGCCGCTTTATATAATGGCATTCCTCCAAGACATTCCACAATGGCCTCTGTAATTGATCGCATCGAATGCTTTCAAACGTTTTGCTATTCTTCGTAGGCGGCATCTTCACTGCACTGCAAAAGCTATAAAAGTTTCTGTATTCTTCAAATTTATTTTGTTCGTACTATCAAATAGATCATATTTTTGATAATTGTATCAGATTTGTATCAAAAATGAAAACCATTAGTATTACAAAAAACTACAAAGAGAAAAAATTCAAGAAAACCCTCATTTTGATAACAAAATAAAACTGCAAAAATAAATAGGCATATATTTAATCAGGGATTGGTTTTTTCTCACATTTCTGTAAATGCAGTTACTTCAGCTCCTATGTCAGAAAGTAACATCTATACACAAGCACTAACATCCCAGATTTTGTTCAAATCGGACAAAACATTTTAGTTATTTGGACTAAAGTTTTTTCCGACTTTGGCGGCATCTAGCAGCTAAAAGAAGCAACTTGGTATAGAGGCAAGCCATATTGAGGATCTACACCTGCCCTGGACGGTTCTTTTATGAGTCGTCATGTATTAATAAACTGAAAAAGCCTTTTATCCTATAATTCATTTTTTATAAACACAATTTGTTTTTTAGGCATAAGGCCCTACAGATTATACGGTGAAGTGAGATTTTCCATATTTTCCACTGTTTTTAAGATGTGAAAGTTAACATTCTTTCTTATGGACACTATATTTATCTTTCATATAGTATAATTGAATTAAAATAAAAAAAATACGAATTCGGCTATGCATCTCATATTTTTATAAAATTTCATGTTCAGCGAGAACAGGATTAGATAATCCACTTTTATTTTATGGACACAATATTAGTTTGTCTTATAACGAATTCATAGTGCATACATCTCAAAAAACAGTGATTATAGGGCATGTACAATGTTATATTACTTGACGAGCGAATTATTAGTGGTCTTTCGGAGAGTTTGTTCAAGAGTTGTAGGTAACTAAAATTCTACCGAAGTGTGTTGGTGTTTTTTTGTATAGTCATTGTGATATATCTGTGTAAGAAATTATTATTTTTTTTTAACTAGAGAACTACAATTTTAGTGTAGATGCAATAATAAAAAATACAGTATATTTTGTGGTATTATTTAAGCGTTCAAATAAATGTCTTATTATCAAACTAAATTGTTAAATATTTGATTTCAACGCTTCCGAAATGAATAAAATAAATGTTTTTATCAAGTATTTTGTAATACATATTTTCAAGTAAAAATATTATGACGGCCTTCGTAATTTCATAATCAATATGCATCTGTCCTGCCCCATGTAGAATACTTTTATTTTAAAATTATGTAACACTATCAACTGTTACTGTCAAAATTATCGCTCGTCCAAACGTTTTGTTGGAGCTCCTATAATAACACACGTCATTCGTTAATTGAAAAATAAAAACGTGTTAAAATTGTAAAGGTAGTCACAAAAAACCCTCAAAATTGGTCTTAAATTGAAAACAATTATAAATTAACCAATTTTTTTAAATCAATTTATTGGGTTAAAAATTGGTAAACGTAAAACGGGTTTTAGGATATTTATTTAAAAAAAAAAATAACATTAATTTTAAAATTAACTAACTTGGAATCAAAACAACTAAAAGAAGAAACAAAAAATGACTTATTCCCGAATATTGTGAAAATAAAAAGAAATTGTACAAATCAAGAGCTCGGCGAGGAAAAAATCATCCCCAAGGTTTGGACACCCCTTTCGCCGCCATACACAATCGGGCTAACAATCCAGACATCTGTACGAGAGTGCAAAGGCCCTCGGAGATTTTTTGGTGGGTCAGACCTATTTCCTGAAGTAAAATGAGTGCATCTCAATTAATTATGACTAAACGTTGAATTTAATTAAAACATGAGATAAGAGATGTCATATTACAAATGTCTTTTCTTTACCTTGATAAACGCCAGCTTCAAAGGTTCCTCCATATCCATGTTTTTACAGACCCTGAAAATGTTCTTTATGATGTCCTCGGCCGCGTACCCCAGGTTCCATAAATGCTCTACGTACTGTTCAAATGGTTAATCAAAATTGCATAACTACTTTTTTTGTTTATGTTTCATGGGAATGTCACAAAATAATATAATACAAAAATGATAATGTATTTACTGAAAATGTAAATGCTGTAAACTTTTGTTGTACAATATGTAGAGTCCCAAAATTCAAGTAAAAAGTAATTTTAAAAGAAAACAGGATTTTAATTAAAAATTGTAAATTTTTTAACGAGACACAGTATACAATGGAATAGCATATACCGGTCTGGCCAGGTAACTCTTTCGCATAGACTAAGTAAATTACACGCATCTCCCCTATCAACTTCGGGTGGAAGGGGTCGGACATGACATATCATCAAGGCTCCGACTCGGACTCTCATAATTGGTTGAGTGTGGGAGCGCACGTGCCCCGTTGCATTTTTTGTGAACCGACCGAATACCTAATGCGCTTTGCTGTTTGTTTAGTTTTATTTTTATTATTATTCCACTCACACATTAGACTAGTGCTTAAGCCTTCAAAAATAGTAAAGTGAAAAAAAATTATAGTAGAATGGAACCCATTGGGAAAGGAAGAGAATATAACAGAAATGAAAAGAAAAATAATTTACGGGCGATCTGAGGTCGGGAAGAGGAAGGGGGTGAGTTTTTAAGGGTAAAAAACGGTTTATCTTGATTTCCGGAAAAACTACAAGTCTTATGGAAAAAAGTTAAATGGCAAAGTTGTAGGTAATAAAAAGATCTACAACTTTTGTATTTACACTTTTTTCACATAACCTCAAAATTTATGTGAAAAATTCAAATAACCAAGTTTTTGGTTTTTTATTTTTATCTTTTACAAAAAAATTTTTTTTTCACGAAATTTGGTGAAAACTTACCTATTTATGTCCCAAACACGCTGTAATTTTTTTGATTTGAAATATTTATTTTTTCACCTTATTTTTACTTAATATCGAAAAAGCACCCTAATTTTCAATCGAAAATTCTCACGTCAAAATATCTGCTTTTTTAAAAACGTCGGTGGGCTTTTTCTTCGTTGAAATCTCTACTTTCTGATGGTGTAAAAAAAAATATACATTACTATGGTAAGTTTTCTCAGGAAATGCAAAGAAACGAAAGAAGATTCTACAACTTTCTCAAAATATTGTAGATGTCTTATTAAATATTAACTTTATTAACTTATTTGGTTGTTAATTATAATAGTATATTTCGACTTGTAATTTTTTTGTTTATCAATGTAACATGGAATCTTACGTTTTTCGAGTAATTAAAGTGTAAATTTTAATAAATAGCTCAAAATTGTACATAATGATTAGAAAAAAATTTTCGGATTCTAGTTCGTTTCTTTGCATTTCCTGAGAAAACTTACCATAGTAATGTATATATTTTTTTACACCATCAGAAAGTAGAGATTTCAACGAAGAAAAAGCCCACCGACGTTTTTAAAAAAGCAGATATTTTGACGTGAGAATTTTCGATTGAAAATTAGGGTGCTTTTTCGATATTAAGTAAAAATAAGGTGAAAAAATAAATATTTCAAATCAAAAAAATTACAGCGTGTTTGGGACATAAATAGGTAAGTTTTCACCAAATTTCGTGAAAAAAAATTTTTTTTGTAAAAGATAAAAATAAAAAACCAAAAACTTGGTTATTTGAATTTTTCACAGAAATTTTGAGGTTATGTGAATAAAGTGCAAATACTAAAGTTGTAGATCTTTTTATTACCTACAACTTTGCCATTTAACTTTTTTCCATAAGACTTGTAGTTTTTCCGGAAATGAAGGGAAACCGTTTTTTACCCTTAAAAACTCACCCCCTTCCCGACCTCAGATCGCCCGTAAATTATTTTTCCTTTCATTTCTGTTATATTCTCTTTCTTTTCCAATGGGTTTCATCCTACTATAATTTTTTTTGGTTTAAAAAATTATCGACCCTGGTCTACATTTAGTAGGAAGTAGACGGAATATTACAAAATAAAAATGGTGTACAGTGTTGAACAATAAATTAATATTATTTAATGGTATTGTCGTGCAGAAAGTGCAGAGGAAGTCGATTGGTTGGTCGATTTATATTTCCATACCTGGACGAACCAGTCCCCACCGCTAGAACTGGTTTGAATATGTTTCATAAGATTGAGGAGTGTGGATGTGTTAATTGGTGTACGAAATGTAGCAATCAGGAACCTCGTCAAATTCCTGAAGCAAGGAGAGAAAAAGAGGTTAATGCCTGCGCTTTTGTGGAAGTAAGTCAGCCGTGTTCTTCCTCCCAACTTTCCGAAGAACTTAACATTCCAAGTCGTACAGTTCGTCGCATCTTACAAAAGAATGGTTGTTACAAAGCCTATAAAATGCAAACTTCTCAAGAAATTATTCCTGGTGATTAAATAAGGCGTATGGAGTTTTGTGAATCCATTAGGGAAAAAATAGATGAAAATAATGAATTTGCTAGACAGATTTTATTTACAAACGAATCATCTTTTCCCTACTTGGCCGTCATAATCCTTCAGTGGTCCAATATTGGTCCCCGGAAAACAATCATTTGAGTATACCTTTAAGAATGCAGTACCCTCAAAAGGTAAATGTTTGGGCTGGCATTTTAGGCGATAATATTGTGGGTCCCTTTTTTATTGATGGTAACTTAAATGCTGAGAGATATTTACATTTAATACAAAACAGTGTTGTACCAGCTGTACGAAACTGGGTTGTAAATTTTGAGGAAATTTGGTTTCAGCAAGACGGATGTCCTGCACACAACGCAAGGCCAGTTCAGGATTATTTGGAACAAACTTTTCCTGAAAGGTTTATTTCCACAAGAGGTATCATACCTTGGCCTCCTCGATCTCCAGATCTGACACCCTGCGACTTCTTTTTATGGAGTCATTTAACGCAACTTCTATACAAACATCGACAAGAGCCGCAAATTTGGACGAATTACGGCTTAAAATTAGAAACATTTTAGGATCAGTTACTCCTGAAATTTTGTCAAATCGTACCCCGGCAAAAAAGAGTCAAAAGTCAAAAAACCCCCTTAATGAGTTAAATATGCAGCAAGATTTAAAATGAGTAGTTCCTTCTTCCACAAAAGCGTCATATTTTTATTTGAACTATTACTCGCTAGATGGCAGAAGTGACACTTGTATTTTGTGATAGGTTGTCAGTTGTGCATTCAAAAACAGTGTTACATTTCGACTTGCAGCAGCAGGTATGTTGCCAGTTATTAAAGTTTCTTGGAGAAAAATGTCATATTTCGTATCATGACAGTTTTTGCAATCAATCAACCAAATCAATCAATGCAATCAAAATTAAAGAAAACAAAAAAAAAGATCTGAATTTAATAGAACATAACCATATTCATAAATATTATTTGCCGTTTTATAATGCCTTATAATAATAAAGAAATAAACATGTTTTCTACTTTATTTTTGTATATTATTTATTTATTGTGTATTATATACTGTGTCTGATTTTTAAAAGAATTAATATGTTATTCTAAAAAAGTGTCACAACTTGAACCATTTTCCTTTTTCAACCAAAAATGAACACAAACCGATCTTGCTCACAAGTCTAGTATATTCTAACATAATATGTATTATATCTACATTTAAAATAAAGCGACGTATACTTTATATTTTGTTATTGTTACGAAAAATTGAGACCAAGAGTTAATTAAATACTTTAACAGTTTTTCTCAAAACCATTTTTTTTGAGTTGACTCCTTTCTAGCGGAGGTGCGAAATGTTCGTCAATAATTTTACGACAGAAAAAGCTCAAGCAGGTGGTTTGTTGAAACACCTTATTAGTTAATAATAAGCTTTTATTTAATACGCATATGAAAAGAATTAATTATTTTGCTTAAGAATTACCACTCATTTTATTTTAGAATACCGTTTTAGTTTTTACTAAAGGTTATAAATAATTTGTAATAAAGTTGAAATGCTTTAGAATAGTCCCAAAACCTCTTATCATTCTTGTAAAAAAATATCGTGCAAATAGGGTAATTACTGTACATATGGCAACAGTGCTGTCAATTCCAGGCCGTAGCTTACACTCTTTATGCCATCGCAATAAATCAAAAACGTAATTATGGTATAGTATTCTATCTTCCGTATGTACGTATCTTAGACGTACGTTGTTCCCAAATTCCTAATGCAAGACGGAGACAATAAACCAATAGTGAAAGAGAGCTTAGAACATGGCACAAAGTTATACAAATGATATGGGGGCGGAGTCAGAATTATTAGGGGAGATTGGTGAAATATTTATATAATTTACTAACTTTGTATCGGAATTAAAAATATGACCAGACCTGTATAGCATGTTGGGTAAATGCCTTCCACGACTTTGTTAGCACATATGCACTCTTTTGTCTAAATTTTCCATGAGCCTTTTGCATAAATGTAATTTTCACACTGAAATAGTGCAGCACCCTCTAGATTAACAATTCTGTTCTGTTTCAGTCCCTTAATCGAGGGTTATTCTTAATAATTTTGATTATTCTGCTAGCAATGTCAGTCGTCATAGTTACTAAATATGTCAATTATCATATTTTGAGTCCAGCAATCTGTGATCTTACATTGTGCGCATACTTACATGACCCTGTATATTACAATTAAATTTTATGAAAAAAAAAGTGCTACGACATTACCTTATAAGCTTTCCTAATGTCGCCATTGATACAGCTCAGCAGCATATCCTTGATCAGTACGGGGTGCGGTTCGTCGCACACCTTGAAGACGTTCTCGGAATTCACCTCGCCGAAGCCGTTGTGGGTGGATTGAAGGTTGTTCAGCGCCTGACGCATATCCCCTTGCGCTGTGAAAACTATGGCCTCTAAGCCGTCTTCCGTATATGAAACCTACGACAAATTCTTGCGTTTGTACCAGTTTAATTACACTGGAGTTCAGATAAATTTCAGTCATCATCGCAAGTTTACTTTTCTAAACAAGGCATTTATTCAACGAAAAAAGTGTGTACCAATAAATGTTTCTCCAATAGGCAAAAATACTATTATTTGAATAGAATAAAAGTCGAGACGAATTAAAATTACTTCAACCGATGATGATACATTGAAAACGAAAGGTTAAAACACCAGAAAAAAATAAAACAGAAAATTGGTTTTCCCAAAAAATGCTTAAATGAAGTACTTTACATTAACAAAAAAAAACATTTTTATGGCATATATTTTCCGGAAAAGGAAGAAATATTGTATGCAACTCACGTTTTCCTTCTGGCAAATCTGAATGATCCTGGCTAGAACCTGAGCGTCCGTCAACCGGGAATATCTCAAAATAGCACATCTCGACTGTATCGGTTCTATCACTTTTTCACTATAATTACAAGCAAGCGCAAATCTTGTGGTATTACTGTAAATCTCCATCGTTCGTCTCAACGCTTGCTGCGCCCCTTCTGTCATACTGCAGAAAATTAATTTTTCTGTTTAACACATCCGATAACTGCTGACGTTTTGGTTTAATAAACTGCCAAACTCTCTTACCTATCGACTTCATCCAATATAATGATCTTGTGCCGACCTGGTGGAAGCGTAACCTTCTGCTGGGCGAACATTTTAACTTTATTTCTAACTACGTCGATACCTCTGTCATTGGAAGCGTTCAGTTCTAAAACTGCCTCTTTAAAAGCAGGTCCTAGCAATATCTTGGCGAGACAGAGAATCGTTGTGGTTTTTCCAACACCGGGAGGACCCTTCAATTGATATTTTTATACTACGTGTTAATAAGTTGTAATTTCTTACCGCTATAATTATATTAGGTACATTGCCCCGTTCTGCAAAAATCGAGAGCCTCGTGATTGTGTCCTCATTGCCCACAATGTCGTGGAAGGTGTGTGGTCTATATTTTTCTATCCTGAAAGATAATTTTAGTTTTAACTGTCTAAAATATTTGGTATGTTTTACCAAGGCAAATTGCAGGTTTTCTTTGATGTTTCTGGTTCTAATTTTTTGGATGGGCCTGGCTGGGCATCATCTACTTCCATAGTTTGAGATTCCATTTGTTTTTACACTTTATTTCATTCTACAAAATGTAATTTAATTGAAATCAGCTGAGACAAACTCATTTCCCTCCAATTTGCTAGAAATTTTGGTTATCTGCGTTATCTTGAAAACAGTGTTGAAATAATGAAATCTATTTTACCGATATAACACTTTGCTTTCGCCAAGCACTACGAATATAAAGGTGCGTTGTTTTTCAATAATTCCAAGTAAATGCATGCGTTATACAACGTTATATAATAATTCACCTGCACTGACCTTGCAGAATTGTATAGGCGGATCTTTCATCAAAAATAAAGAAATATTAATAACTACTTTCCAATAACGAAAATGGTATTAACAGCAGTTTTAGAAAGAACAATTACTTAATTACATAAATGATAATTGAAATATTTGTCATAACGATAACAACTGATTTCCCTTCCATCACATCAACTCATCATAAAAGCTAGCAACTATTAAAATCAATTATTGATAGATTGGCGCTTCACCATAAATGTGCCGATTTACTTAGAAATTATTTCAGTTTTATCATTAGTAAAATAGAAAAGTTATTACTTTATTAGAAGCTATCTGATGTATGATCTGGTGTAATGAAAATGTTGTTTAGATTTTACTCTGTCCAATGAAATTGAGATCACCCATAATCGTTTACACTTGGGGGAACGTTTTGTCATTTTTTTTTTGAATGTCGATAAAGAAGAATTCTTATGTCAATTTTAGTTCCATGGACTTCCAAGTTAGAAAACAATGAGGCTGAGAAATAACCATGTAATTAATGAAAATGAATTAAACTGTACAATTGCAAAGTTTTTAATTGGTTTTTAAACGGATTAACTACATGTTACTAATATAAATAAATATTTGTAGTAATCCTTAAAACAAAGTTAATACTTTTTTAAATCGACCAATGAAAGACTTCAGATTTAAAAACTTGAAAATCGCGTAACAACAACTGTCATAATATCCGGTTAGCGTTGTTTGTGTTTGTTTGGGCGTTCTTGGAATTTGCTTACTTGGGAAATGGCACATATTAATTTTGTAATACCAGCAAATAAAGCGGAACTTTTAAGAGATTGTAACAATTATTACGTAAGAGACGTCGTCGTACCCCAAGATGTAGTAAATCAATTAAAAAGTTAGTTTTAAGGAAGCGTGCAATTTGAGAAAGTAAAAAATGTTTTTACTTTTTAGATACCGCAATAGCGTTACGGGAGGAAGGTGCTGAGTTTATTATAAACGCATTTGACGTGTACTATTCGGTATTATATCATGGAGATGTTCTTCGAATGGACACTATCTACAAAGCTTACGAAGATTTACACAAAGGTAAGTGTTACATAAAATTGGATTATTATAGAAGCGCTATGTCTGTTTCAGCCTGTGTAGAGCTGAATAAAGCTTTGGGTTTCATTCTCGAAGACAAAGAAAGCCTAAATGACGAATTGAGAATGAAATTCCTCACTATCCTCAAAATGTCAGTGTACATTTACACTCAGATCGTTCTCCTGATTGAACATAAGCACGAAGTGAAGAACCAAGTACTGGTAAAATCGAGGAAGAAAAGCGCTAGAGATGAAGATGAACGGTTCAGCGTAAACAAGAAAGACGTGCTTCTAGTCCTCAACAACATTATCCAAAGGGAAATAAGTTTGTTTTGGGACCCTCCGATAGTGGAAGAGAATTTCATGAACTTGGTGTCGGAGGTGTGTTACAGATTCTTGCAAAATCCGTCTATAAAGGCCGAAAAGGAGGTAAGAATGGAAATATTCAGCCTGTTAGGGTTCCTCATCAAGAATTACAGTCACGGCACCGCTTTCGTCATTCGAATGGTGCAACTCATTAAAATGCACGAGCACCTGGTTCACTGTACTCCGGAAGGCATACAGCAGTTGGTGCAGAATTTTAATTGTAGGGGCGTTGTGCACGATCTTATAAGGGAGATCACAGAGTGGCAGACTGACGAGAAGTACCAGGATAGCCAGGTGAGTGGTGCGAGGGAAGCGAGGGGATCTCGATGACGAAAATTTTATTGTAGGGGGCGCGATACTGCGCTAACGCTCTGTCCTCGATGGCCGTTCTGATGCCGGATCTGATGATTCCGGAAGTGTTGTATTTGAATACATATCTTGGACATGAGGTGAGTTGAATTTAAAGATCAACAATACGACCTTGCTGCTTTTTTTAAGATTCATACATTTTTCGAGTGAGAAATTTTGTCAACTTACCTGAATTTTTGATATAAGTTAGTTTGAGGATAATTTTTTTTCAATCTACACTAAAATACATATATAAACTTTCTTTTCAGAGAAATAGATATATATTTTTCATTAAATATTAAAAAAAATCTATTTCATGGAAAGAAACTTTATAATGAACTTAAAATTTTTCTGCTTATAATTTTTTTAAATTTCTCATACCCTTTAATTTCTAGCCATCCTAACTCTGTTAATCTTAAGAGTAGATGAAAAAGTCAATATATTATTTTTATGTAAAATTTTACATTGTACAGGGTGGGCAAATAAGCGAGGTAAGCGGCTGTGTCTCAGAAACTAGTGATCGTAGAGAGCTACGGTAAAAAATTTTATGGGTAAAGTGGGCAAGGGAATTTGCTGGAAATTATTTTCAAGTTTCCAAGATGGCCGCCAGTGGGCATTTCCACCATATTGAATTACATAAAGTTACGTTTCTCACGATTTTCCCCAATGAATGTAACAAAAAAGTATTTGCGTTTTAATGTTAAATTAAAGTCGAACATTTTTTGTAAAAACAATTTTTCTCTATCTTTCGAAATAAAGTGGTGGGGGGTATTTGAATGTTGTTTNCATGGAAAGAAACTTTATAATGAACTTAAAATTTTTCTGCTTATAATTTTTTTAAATTTCTCATACCCTTTAATTTCTAACCTTCCTAACTCTGTTAATCTTAAGAGTAGAAGAATAAGTCAATAGATTATTTTTATGTAAAATTTTACATTGTACAACTTTCGCTAGAAAAGAAAACAAAAACAAACACTTTGACTAAACAACGAAGGGTATAGTTTTGAGACAAACTGTCTTAGGAGTCTTAGGACAAATGTTTGTTACATTTTTTTTTACATAATTTCACTAGCAACCCGTCCCAGCTTCGCATGGCCAAATATAAAATAGCCTATGTTACTCCGAGGAGAGGTAGCTTTCTGTAAAATCGGTTGAGTAGTTTTTGAGTTAAATCGTAACGAACAAAAAATCGATCATCTTTCATCTAATGCGACCCTAATATTAATTTTAAAATAATTCACGATATATCTATATATCTAAAGACAACAAACGAACTCAAAACTAAAAATGCAAAACCTTTAAATTTAAAACGATATAGATAACTACCGACAATGTGAAAACAAAACGAATTAAATTAAAGTACTAAAGTAATGTTCAGGACTATCAATTTTAATTAATAAGTAAGTAGTTAGGTATCTAACTACCTAAAGAAAACAAACACAAAACAAAAATGCGACTATGAAGTTTTAAATGATTCACAATAAGAAAAAAACAAACAAATTATTAAAACTCAATGAAATAAAAGTATGTTTGCAAGTATCTATGTATGTTCTGACTACCTAAAGACAACAAATTCAAAACAAAAATGTGACCTTAAAATATTGAACGCAGTTATAACTTTCCAACAACACCCAGAAAGAAAACACAGTTGTCAGTAGTCACCTCCATTTGCTCCAAGTCAGTTTATTAAAGGATCAGGCGCGTGTTATCGTTCGGCTTATTAGTTAAACAGTAGGCAAGACGGTGCGGGGGGAGGGTCGGCGATCGTATCAAGTGAAGCGAGGTGCTTGAATTTTATTCTCGCGTCCGTAATTTTCTTGCGATTACTCCTAAGATATTCATTTAAATTATATGGTGTAAAAGAGTAAAATAATGTGCATGAAATGCTTAAAGCCTCTAACTTATTTAAAATGATAAGGATTAATACCGTATTTGTGTAAATAGCTTTTACATTACCGCTTTATAATTGCCAATTTTTTAAAGTATTAAAATGGATATAGGTAGTGTGTTATCTTTAACATATAGACATATGCCATGGCAGACTTTTCTGTACGCATATATAAGATACACAATTCCACCATACATTGATACACTACATAAACTTTCGGACCCACCCGGCTCGGTCGCGAGGCGAGGAGTCACGGGGTGCCCGCGTGGCCCGGTCAAATCACGGCGACACGAAATTAATTTCGTTGTTCTTTATTTTGATTTTGCTATATCTCCTAAGGTTTTCATTTAATTTGCATGGTGTAAAAGGAAAAAATAATCTTCATGAAATGCTCAAGCCAACTAACGTATTTAAAATGATAATGATTAATACCGTATATGTGTAAATAACTTTCCAATTACCCCTTTATAATTGCCCATTTTTGAAACTATTAAAATGGATATAGTATGTTATCCTTAAGAGATAGACATATGCCATCGCGGACTTTTCTGTAGACCTATATAAGACACACAATTCCCCATACATTATTTTGTTATATCTCAGTGTTTAGGCAGCGTTTTCGTTGAAAGCTCCCAGACGGCTTATCACCTCCAGCAAATATCGTTAATGCATACAAAAACTTAACAAATTATAGACTAAAACCTTCCTCGAGAACCACTCTATCCATTGGTGAAAACAGCATGAAAATCGGTGCAGTAGTTTTTAAGTTTATCGCGAACAGACAGACAGACACGTCGGAGGACTTTGTTTCATAATATGCAGTGATGTATGTTTGAGACTTTAGATATTTTCTTAGAATTTTTTTTTTCTGAACCAAAATCGTTAAATATATTATTGATGTTAATTTTTGAGAATACTACTGTCCCTCTTCGTGATACACNAAATTAATTTCGTTGCGCATTATTTTGATTTTGCTATATCTCCTAAGGTATTCATTTAATTTGCATGGTGTAAAGGGAAAAAATAATCTTCATGAAATGCTCAAGCCAAGTAACGTTTTTAAAATGATAAGGATTAATACCGTATTTGTGTAAATAACTTTCTAATTAACGCTTTATAATTGCCCATTTTTTAAAGTATTAAAATGGATATAGTGTTATCCTTAAGAGATAGACATATGCCATCACAGACTTTTGTGTAGACACAGTATAAGACACACAATTCCACCATACATTATTTTGTTATATCACAAAGTGTTTAGGCAGCATTTTCGTTGAAAGCTCTCAGACGGCTCATTTTTTTCCGACATATCCAGCAAATATCGTTAATGTATACAAAAACTTAACAAATTACACACTAAAACCTTCCTCGAGAACCGCTCTATCCATTGGTGAAAACAGCATGAAAATCGGTGCAGTAGTTTTTGAGTTTATCGCGAACAGACAGACAGACGCGGCGGAGGACTTTGTTTTATAATATGTAGTGATGTATGTTTGAGAGTTTAGATATTTTCTTAGAATTTTTTTTTTTAACCAAGCTCGTTAAATATATTATAACTTTTGATGGTTGTAACACCCTGTATATTGCAAAAATAAAGACAGTGAGGTCACCTAGATAATTTTAATGATATACATATTTTTTTAAGTTACGGTGTATATAGAGCTATTTTCATTTAAGATATCGAAAAACTTTATTAGCAACAATTTTTAATAAATAAGATCACGTGCTTGTATCAAATTTGATGGCAATCGGTTCATATTTTACAATTCAATTATAGTTAAATAAAAAAAAATATCAAAGCTGGTGAGTTGTGTTGAAATTTGTTATACATTGTGTATCACGAAGAGGGCCCAGTAAGATTATCTCAAAAAGTAGTCAGAATTGAATTCTGAAAATTTGTATACAGGGGTTTATCAAAAAGATCTACTCAATGAAAATAGTGTCAACTTCCTCGCACATCCGGTTATATTGGAAATCATCATCAGCTCTATTATTTCAAATGGAACACTAGGTATATTTGCGTTTTTAATCTACGGCAAATTCTAGACTATTTTCATATAAGGTACTATGAGTCAAAATGTGATAGTTTTCAAGTTCAATTAATTTTCGAAAAAAATTGAGGGATGTAAATGATTTTTGAAAATAGAATAACACTGCCATTTTGCTTTATTTATTAATGAAATTTGGCATGAATAATTTAAAAGCAGTGGAATTCAATCAGTTTGTCAAATTTGCAAAAATTCATGCAGAGTGTTTAAGAACGTGTGGCGAATAATGTGACGTTAAAGTTGAATTTACTCAAATATTTCAAATGGTACACCCTACATTAATGGATGCACAATTAAATTTACTTTAAAGAATACTCTAGTTCCCTATACCCAAAGTTAACAATTCTTGTGTAAATTGGAAATTATTGATTTCAACACAGAAAAATCTACGAGTATAGTGGGTTTATTCAAATCATTGCCCTTTTTAATTTTTCTGTGTTGAAATCAATAATTTCCAATTTACCCAAGAACTGTTATCTTTGGGTATAGGGAGCTATAGTATAATTTTAAAGTAAATTTAATTGTGCATCTATTAATGTCATAATATAAGGGTGTGGGTGTACCATTTGAAATATTTGAGTAAATTCATCTTCAGCGTCACAATATTGGTCACACGTTCTTAAACACTATAAATTTTTACAAATTTGACATAAACTCGTTGAATCCCATTGCTTTAAAATTATCCATGCCAAATTTCATTAATAAATAAAGCTTATTTTATTTTCAAAAACCACTTGATTCCTTCAACTTTTTTCAAAAATTGATAACTTGAAAACTGTCACATTTTGGCCTATAGTGCCTTATATGAAATTAGTCTAGATTTTAAATGTTTAGATGTTCCATTCGAAATAACAGTTGATGATGACTTTCGGTATAACCGGAAGTGTTAAAAAGTTGACACTATTTTCATTGAATAGAACTTGTTGATAAACCCCTGTATAAAAATTTTCAGATTTCAATTTTGACTAATTTTTGAGAATACTACTGTCACTCTTCGTGATACACCCTGTATAGTCGTAAATTTATTTGTTGGATACTTTTCCTAATAAAATTTTTCAATATCTACAAAAATGGTACTTTTCCTACTTGACCGATCAAAATAACTCATTTAGAGGAGAAAAAAAAGAAAATTGTTGCCTGAACTTTTATAAGTCGAAAATGGTAAAGGGGCTTATAATAAACGAAAAAAAAAATAAATACGTGAGCAGGGGCGGCGGGTCAAACAACGAGACAGTTTTTTTATTTTTTTCTGTAAAATTGAATGGTGTAATCAGTTTTTGAATGTTTTTTAATTTAAACAAATTATCAACAATAACTGAAAAGTTCATTGTTGCAAATCATTTTTTATTTTTTTGCATTTTTGAGCATGTTTTTGAAATGTTATTACAGATTTTTTTATTTCACCAAAAAGTATATGTCAAAACGAAAAAAATTATTACCGGCAGAACTCTGTACGATGATTTTTTTAAGTAGAATTTTTCTTTGGAAAAAAAGTGTTTCACGAAACGAAAAAAATGAATATCTCAGAAACTTCTCGATTTTTTTATCTAAAAAAATTTGAGGTTACTTAAGACAGAGAAAGGTATACTTTTACCAAGTTTCGTCAAAATTAAATTATTTTTGCAGAAATTAGAAATAAAAAACGAAAAATCAGAAAAAACCTGTTTTTCGCATTTTTCTCGGAAATTTTGAGGTTCTGTTAAAAAGTGACCTCTACAAAAGTTGTAGATTTTTGCATGATCTACAACTTTTGTATTAGATACCTTTTTGTTTGATGTAAACTTTCGCCAGAAATCTCAATGATACAATCTTTCATAACTTTTCAACCACCCAAATCAACCCTCCGCCGCCCCTGCTCACGCATTTATTTTTTTTAGGTTTTTTATAAGCCCTTTTACCATTTCCACTTATAAAAGTCCAGGTAACAATTTTTTTTTCTCCAACTGTAATTTGGTTGGACTATACATGGAAAACATATTTTTGCTTCTGAAAAGGCCTACTTAATTTTTTAAAAGTAAAGATTGTTACAAGTCACTTTAATGAAGAAGCACTGTTTCTCAAATTTTCAAATTTCAACTCGAAACTTTTTTGACATCCTTATTTTTGATGTTGAAAAAAGATTAGCTATTTGTATTATTTTTTATATTAAAAAAAAGGTCACTTTTGGATCACTTGGCCACCTATACATTTTTTTTTCTGTATAAGTGCAGTTAAAATTTCTATATCTTAAATTTTGCCAAAAAAATTGAATTTGTCTAATATTATGGGCTTAATTTTAATTTTTTAAATACATGTCTCCCAATTTTTTTTAAGCAAAATAAATTTCAAATCTAACCCCATTTTCCCTGTAACATCGATTCTAACGACACGAACAAATTTATTCCTGATTCCAGTCCGCCACGCTGCGGAACTCCATACTAACCGTGATCACGGAAATAATCATAAACGTTCTGACCAACCACGACCTGACCGACGACCAGCGCGAGTCTCGAGACGACTTCCTGGCGATCTTAATGGAACATATCGAGGACATATCTGCGGTGGTCAGAGCGAAGGTCATCCAACACTGGGCCAGACTTCAGAAGGAGTCGGCCATACCTCTGAAAACTCAGCGGCTCATCTTGGAGAAGATTACCGAACGTCTCACCGATAAAGGGGCGTTGGTCAGGAAGAACGCCGCCAACTGTGTGACGACTTTTTTGACCTACAACGCCTACAGCGCAAACGTAAGTAAAAATAGAGCAATAATGCATATACGCCAGGAAAATTAGCGAAAATAAAAGAGAAACTTGAAAAAATTCCTATCCGCGATATTATTGTAAAATTGTCTAAAGGAACATAATACAAGACATCTCACATCTCGTGAGTCAAAAAATTTTATTAGCTAACTTTTCTATTTAAACAAATAAGTGAGGAAACCAGTTTCTTCACTTTGCAGGGAAAACCATCAGTTTTAGCGAAAAGTGACTCGCAGACAGCTTGTAGGGAATAAAATTATCTACAAAATTAAAATCGGTTAATAAACAAAAAAGTTATTGCAAAAAAACAAGAAAAGTGCCCATTTTTTAATTTGTTTATAACTATCGCATTTATTGTTAAAATTTTATAAAACCTATGACAAGTTGAGGGTTTTGTCATACTTCAAAAGTGTGCCAAAAGACGCGCTGTAGGTGTAATAGTTTTTCTCACAATTCAATTTGTTTATAACGGAGACTCCAAAAGTTATGAAGTTTAAGCCTCTGTACAGGCGTTAATTTTCAACCAAACATGATTCTGAAAGCGTCATTTTAATCTGAAACACGTAATTAAGCGACCTATTAAAAAATATCACCGTTTGAATAAAATTGTTGCTATTTATGCTACCTCACCGAAAATAGATTCAATGGATAGCTGGCAAAAAAATACAATTTTTTTTGTAAAAAAGCACCCTCTACAACCAACAAGAGCCAAGTTTTTAAAAAATCGTAGCGCAATTGTTTATAAACATTAAGACTTGAATTTTTCGCAAAATAAAGTTTACGACGTAAACTACGATTTCCCGTGAATTGCATTGAAAAATGTAGAAAATTAACGACTCACGAGCCCTTTAAAGATAAGGTACTTGCTAACTAAACTATCCGGCGCCGGCATGGTGATGGGGGAAGCTCGTCCAAGCGAATCGCGCGCGCGAGAAAAGTGAAATCCAAAGTTCAAATTGATGCGCGCTGTAAAATTTTGCAATATCTCGGCTTCTATTCATCGTAGAAACATCTTTTTTTTTTAAACTTTGGTAGCTCGACGAAAACATAACAATGGGAATATTTATTAATCCGTAGAATAGCCCTGAACCCCAGAAAAAATGCATTTTTTTTTTAATTTACAAAAATGTCAAAAATTATTGTTACACGAAATATTAATTAAAATTTCANTTTTACTATACAGGCAGGTTCTTTTATATAAAATCTTTGTATCAACAATAATTTGTATATGGTTTGTTTTTATAGTCATCAACCCTAATAGGCTCCAAAAGTTATGAACTTTAAGCCTCTGTACAGGCGTTAATTTTCAACCAAACATGATTCTGAAAGCGTCATTGTAATCTTAAAGACGTAATTAAGCGACCTATTAAAAAATATCACCCTTTTTTGACATTAACATTCTCAAAATGTGCATTAAAAAACTGTGCCTTTTTCGCTTGCTAAATAGCAACAATTTGAATAAAATTGTTGCTATTTATGCTACCTCACCGAAAATAGATTCAATGCATAGCTGGCAAAAAAATACAATTTTTTTTGTAAAAAAGCACCTTCTACGACCAACAGGAGCCAAGTTTTTAAAAAATCGTAGCGCAATTGTTTATAAACATTAAGACTTGAATTTTTCGCAAAATAAAGTTTATGACGTAAACTACGATTTCCCGTGAATTGCTTTGAAAAATGTAGAAAATTAACGACTCATGAGCCCTTTAAAGAGAAGGTACTTGCTAACTAAACTATCCGGCGCCGGCGTGGTGATGGTGCAAGCTCGTCCAAGCGAATCGCGCGCGCGAGAAAAGTTCAAATTGATGCGCACTGTAAAATTTTGCAATATCTCGGCTTCTATTCATCGTAGAAACATCATTTTTTTTAAACTTTGGTAGCTCGACGAAAACATAACAATGGGAATATTTATGAATTCGTAGAATACCCGTGAACCCCAGAAAAAATGCATTTTTTTTTTAATTTACAAAAATGTCAAAAATTATTGTTACACGAAATATTAATTAAAATTTCAGTTTCGGAATTATTTTACTATTATTAAATAAATAAATGAAGTTATCGTTCATTTAAAAAGTTATTTTTTTACATATTAAGCCAAAGTAAACTTATTTTTTCAATATTTTGTTAGTTATTTAATTACGATTTAAATGTAAAATTAAAGTAAAAATTCACAAATTATTTTCAAATTATTATTTATTGTTAAAAAAATTTAAAAAAAGAATAAAAAGCATTTGATTTTGTTGCAAAATTCTCAAAATTAAAAAATATTAATAAAAATAATGCGGTCGATAAAATTACAAGTTTAACTTCTTGAAATTTTAATATACAGGGGTCGGCATAAGTCAGGCAACCAATTTGCATTAAGAGCATTAATTTTTATTCTGAAAACGCGTCTACTCGACGAGCACGTGTTATCATGTTCATGACACAGACACAACTGTCAGAAGCACGAACATGCTTCGTTTTAATCTTTTTCGACAGCGTTACCAGACTTATGAGCGTTGCCGGACTTATGCCGATTTTTCGAGAGCGTTGCCTGACTTATGCCGACCCCTGTATAAAGTTTTTTTATTATATTTATTATAAATTAAAAAAAAATTGCAACATCAAAATTAATTCAAAAAATATTAATCACAACCATTTTTAATAATAGATATATTTTTATGAAAAAGTATGACAAAACCCTCAACGTGTCATAGGTTTTATAAAATTTTAACAATAAATGTGATAGTTATAAACAAATTAAAAGATGAGCACTTTTCTTGTTTTTTTGCAATAACTTTTTTGTTTATTAACCGATTTTAATTTAACAAGTCTCATTTTGTAGATAATTTTACTCCCTACAAGCTGTCTGGGAGTCACTTTTCGCTAAAATTGATGGTTTTCCCTGCAAAGTGAAAAAACTGTTTTCCTCACTTATTTGTTTAAATAGAAAAGTTAGCTAATGAAATTTTTTGATTCACGAGATGTGATATGTCTTGTATTATGTTCCTTTAGACAATTTTACAATAATATCCCGGATAGGACTTTTTTCGATTAAAAAATTTTATTTTCTTGGCTTAATACAGCTGAAAATTGTTTAAAAAAAAAGTATGTTTCTTTTTATACCTGCTTTTTCCGTTGCAGTTATCGTTAGAAGTTATGCAGGGGCAGTTGGAGAAGGATCGGAAAGTTTTGGACTCCATGAAAGTCGAGTTCGAGGATTTGAAAACGAAAAAGTTGGAGGAGATCCAAGGACAGTGGAACTCGATAAAAGATAAGCTCAAAGTTGCCATCGAGGAGGAACTCAAGAACGAGAACGGTAAGCATTTTATTAATTATACAAAAAATAAGTGTACCAGCTTGGACAAAGGTTTATAATTTACATTATGTACGTTTCGCATTATACAGGGTGGTCGAAAGTTCCTCATATATGGAACAATCGCAAATCCTTGAAGTTGACTAAATTTGCTTGGTTGAGCCCGTGGAAGGCGTTAAATTTGGGAATAATTGTATTTTCCTGTTTAAATAAAATTGATACTTTGGTACTTGTACAAGGATTTCTCTTTTTTATTCTAAATAATTTAAGTAAATTTGAAATATTTTTTGTAAAAAATCTTGTCAAGCAATATTTTTCAATCCCAGAGAAGATATCCAATGAACAATTCAGCCGTTTGGTTGTCTATCCACAATATGTGTTGAGTGTAGGTGAGATATAACCTACCAAGTATGTCGTATCCATATTGTCAACATTGCAGGTACAAATTGGTGCTTTGTGCCAGTAGGCCTCGAGTAGCAGTGACATTTGACCATAGATAAGATATACTATGTAAGAAATAGATCAGCCAACTCAATGAAAAAATGCATTAAATATGCCATCGGTGTTTGGAGTAAGAAACACTTTCAAGGGCAATTATTGCACATACGAGGGGTATAAGATTGGGTGTAAAGGGGCATACGATAACTTCTCATTATATTCGTAAGGTGATTCGCAAACACTGACCTAAAATGAAACCTCGTATTCTTTAGTGAATTTTAAGAGGGCTCTTTCGTATAAAGCTTTTATCTAGGAAGTTTCGTTAAANTAAAAAAAAAGTAAGTTTCTTTTTATACCTGCTTTTTCCGTTGCAGTTATCGTTAGAAGTTATGCAGGGGCAGTTGGAGAAGGATCGGAAAGTTTTGGACTCCATGAAAGTCGAGTTCGAGGATTTGAAAACGAAAAAGTTGGAGGAGATCCAAGGACAGTGGAACTCGATAAAAGATAAGCTCAAAGTTGCCATCGAGGAGGAACTCAAGAACGAGAACGGTAAGCATTTTATTAATTATACAAAAAATAAGTGTACCAGCTTGGACAAAGGTTTATAATTTACATTTTGTACATTTCGCATTATACAGGGTGGTCGAAAGTTCCTCATNATAAAGGGGTGGTGATTTGTAGAAAATTGTAAGGAGAATCCGAAAATATCATAATAAAGCCCTGTATCTCAGCCACTGGAACATTGTTTTTTAAGAAAATGCTTCCGATTTTGTACAATATTTACATACATTCATGTGATTAATTTCAAATTATTTCACTCACTAGTTTCTAAAATGTTATAAAAAATTAAAAATATTAATTTAACACTGGATTGTTTTAGTGAACCGACCTAGACAAAAACTTTATATGAAAGACCTACCTTAAAATTCACTAAAGAATTCGAGGTTTCATTTTTTGTCACTGTTTGTAAATCACCATGTAGTTCATTTGTAAATTGATGTCATTGGCAATGTTTCACGTATAATTTCTTCATTCACATTATTACATTTTCTGAAAATTCTAAAATTATATTGTAACGTATGAATCATGATGAAGTTCCGGCGTCAGCTGTTAAATTTCAAAATGAATGCTAACAGAGACAACAGAAATTTATTTTGTCTCTGTCTAAAAAAGGACAGACGCATATCGCTGTCCTCTCGGGCTCTGGAGTCAAGTAGTGGGGGTAATTTTCAATCCCTTACCAGTAAAGTTGCCTATGTGTGCATTTGACATATACTTTGTAGGTTATATCTCACCCGCACCGCCAAACCGATTTAGAGTTAAACATGGAAAAAATTACATATTTTGTCACTTTTGATGCATGTACACGCAGAATCCTCAGCGGAAGGCTCTCATGAACAGGACGTTGAGGAGCAGCAAGACAATCGTTTAACATGGGATCAGATGACGGAAATACTGAAAATGTATTTAACGGAAGGAAAATACAAGGAGGCGTTCAGGCTCTGCAAGAAGTCCGGTAGGGACCAGGAGGAATTCCGACTGTTGGGGTATGAGATACTCCAAATTCCTTAAGACGCAAAATAAATACAAAAAAAACTCCTTTAAAACAGGGAAAACAACGCCATGGAGGAATCGGAGATGTACCTCCTGGTGTTCCACTTGGTATTCTTCGACATCAACAAGCTGGTGGAGGAGATGAGGGCGGGCGGCACCGTCAAGATGACCGAGGAGGACTTCAAGAGGATGGAGGCGATGGAGACGCACGTTGACTTCCTGGAGGACTGCGTGGGTTTCCTGAGGCTGATCGACAATGCCATTCCCATCATGATCGAGCTGTTGGAGACCACCACCATCGGGGACATGCACGAGGCCGTGGAGTTCTTCACGTCCGCCTATCAGTTTAGCATCGATAATTCCATGCGGGGAATCTTGGGTAAGCGTATGTCGGTTTTTCGCCCCCTTCGCAGTGTCGCCAACATGAAGTTTTTTCACTTTTCGTGATTCTAAAAACAGTATTTGTGGAAAATATTAGATGTGCTCGGCTGACGTTATGCATTTATTTCATTCGTACGATATTGTTTGAGAAGACCCCCGCGCCACTCATGGAATTAACTGCATTTGACGCTTGAGGTAGAAAAACATTGGCGGACATTTGAAAACATGCCCCTGCTCCGGTGAATTGCTACAGTTCGTACAATATTTGTTGAGGTATAATTCCAAGAAAAGGATAAGCCAATAAAGTTCAGTCATCGGAACTACTGTAACAATTTACAGAGGCAGGGGCGTGGCTTGAAATTTTCCGCTAATGTCTTTCCCTGTCATGATTAGTTTCGACTGAATATTAAGGTTTTTTTTTCGTTAGCGATGCTGAAGATCATGCAGCGCAACGAGCAGGAGCGCAGGGACTGCATCATCAACGCCTTCAAGACGATTTACCTGAACACCGATTGCACTAACACAGAGTAAGTTTGTTCACGTCGAGTCGTCCCTAGACTTACTGATACTTAATGAAAATCGGATTTTAGACTTGTTCAAAATTGGCGAGTTTAAGCCACCAAAGAAATAGCGGCTTGGATGAATTTTACTTTATTTTTGTTGCAACGTTTCATCTTTAAGCAACCATCATCAGTTTATTATTATTTTTTTAATCCAAAGCAACACAATTAATATTTTTACGCGAAATAACAAATTCTTAACAAGACTCATCGTCATTCAACAAAAAAAAAAACAAAAAAAAAATACATTAAGAAAAAAAAATCCGCCCACGACAAATACTTCATCGCTGACGTTGCTTTGTTAACCCCTCAGGGAGCACTGCCTGACGATAGTCTGTCGCCTGATACGGCTCGTCAAGACGGTTCCCCTCAACAACATCGACGACTTCCAACTAATCATATCCGAGTGGACGGCCAAGGGCATCCTCGACAACAGCATCATCGACATGTTCTGGCAGTACTTCACGCAGAAGATCAGCTGCACCGAGGGGGACTCGCACGCCGCCACGAAACTGCTGCGCATGTGCGCCCTCGGCCGTAAGACCATCGTCACGCGGAACATCAAGCTGGTGGCGACGGTGGCTTTCGGGGAGCGAGGCACGCGCGACATGCAGTTCCTGGGTAGCGCTTGCGAGTTGCTGTCGGTCGCCGGCAGGGAGAAGATCGATATTACCAGCAAGAACCCGCCCTACAAGATAAAGCCGGGCGATGAGATATTCGGTAGTCTGTTGGAGATACTGGGGAAGAAGTTCTTCGAGCCGGTGGAGTACTACAACAAGGCGTTGTTCGGGGGAATAGATTTCATTTACAAGGTAAGCGAGTAGGAGGTAGTGAGTTTTGTCAAAAATTTTTGTTTAGGACTTGGTAAAAAACATACAGGGTGTCTCAGTTTTAATCTACGAGACATCGGGAGCAGATAGTACAACGAAAAATAATGGTACTTTGTCGTATATACGTATTTCGAAATTTCAACCGTTTTCCAGATACAGGGTGTTAATAATTAAAAAAAATATATCATTTACTGACTACTGTAAATATCTTCTGAAATAATATTATTTTTTTGATAAGTTAGGAAGAACGGAAAAACAAATGTACCAATATATTTGGATAATCCTGTATACAGTGCGTCCCAGTAGTAACGCAAAAAATTCGTATTTTATTTTGTGTTGCGTTTTCACAAAAACACTAAAACACGTCAATTACTAAATAGGAATTGTCGTTTTGTCACGTTGCTGAAACCTTTTTTACGCTATTTTTCATAAACCTATGACATCATCGACATTTTTTTTTAAATACTTCGATAGCTGCTCCAGTGCATACAATTAAATATTTTAAGACCCTACAGAGCGTGTATTGGGGCAAATTGTGCTCATTTTGAAATGTCCTCAATACTGTTAGCGGCAGCAACAATTTATTAGTTCCTTAATCCGTTGTTAATCTAATTTTTAACATTGGATTATTACGTAATTTTGTTATTAACCTTTTTAGTTAAATTTTCGTGTATTTCATCTTTTGTGAGTTGTTTCATACACTGATTTTTGCTTTAAATTTTATTTACTGAAAGTGAGAGTGACTCATCGCTAACTCTTGGATTAGTAAGGAGGTTGCGGGAACTGAAAATCCATAGGCGTATCGATTTACAAGGCAACGCGATATAGAAAATATGGAAAAAAGATAATAAAACATAAACGTCTTATTTTTAGAGGTTTTATCAAGAAAACTTCAAAAATATTGTAGCAACATTTTGTTTTAAATTTTAATTGTTTTCTATAAAACGATGCCATCGCGTAAGTTTAGGCGTTTATGACCGATAGACCGTTTGCTACAAACGGCACTTTGATCCATTTTAATTATTACTGCGTTTTAAAATGTCTCGGTTGCATTTTTTAATTTATAAATATATTATAGCCACTGGATTAGCACCCTTCGTGTACGCTTATCCTATGGCGTTTCTAACGACGTCTAAATCAAGTACTACGTCCGTACGTTTACACCCACTAAAAAAAAACATTTCCCTATCATTATTATATGTTCAATAGACAGAGATAGAAATTAGATCGACGTTCAGTGTAACTTAGTCTATATACGATTGTAGATCCTATCGATGTGCATAGATGTGCATTTAATACAAAACAAATAATATTGAACTGTTATAAAACTAATTTTATACTTTATACGCTTTATGGTAATAATGTTTTTATATTAAACTAATGCAAAACATTAAAGGATCAAAAGAGTTTCCGAAATTTTTCCGTGATTTTTGACGGACTGTATTTAGGTGAAAAATGGTCGTATCGGGAATTAAAAAATGCATTTTGAAGCGCTAAGATTCTAGGTTTTAGATCTTTCTAGAAGAAATAGCATGACAAAAAAATTTGGAAATTTCATCCATTGCATACTTGTTTATTCAACTTCAATTTCCTTTTTTATAAATTTCGATATGACCATTTTTCGATTTATCGCACTTTTAATGGAAAAGGATCCTTTTGTCTTTAATCATCGATATCTCGGCGGCAAATGGTCGTACAGAGAATTGAAGGGCAGTTTCGAAAACTGAAGTAAATTTCCTGTAACATGCTGCCGTAACTTTTCGGAAAAAAATGTTTTCATTTTAAGAAACGGGAAAAAAGAGTAATTTTTGGTTTTTTAGAAAATTGTCGGCTAAATTAGAAATATTCACGAAATAACTGATGTTATGCATGGCTTTTACAGTTCAATATACCCAGAAGAACCCTGTGAAGTTTTATCTCGATCAAACTGATTCTTTGTTCCAGTCAAACTTTTGAAAAAAATTAGAGACGTTTTTTGAGCTTAAACACTTCATAATCGTGATTAAAATGGAAAATAATTTTTTTTTGAGGTTTTCTCACATTTTTACCGCAAGTATCATTTAAATTGATGAAAATAAAAAAAAATTTCAAAAAATTTTCTATAAAATTTTCAAAAATTTTTGAATTTTTTTTTGCTCTTTTGGAAAACCTTCCGGACATTGAAGAAAACAAAATCCAATTGTTTACAATACGATTTAGCTTTTCCATCCTATGCTCCTGTTCATCAACTTTTAATTAAATTAAAATTAAAGTTGATGACCCAAACCAGATTTCGATCCCGATTCACACCGTTTTTTGAGACAAATTTGTAATTAATTTTTGCGCAGCCTGTAATCATTTAAATAACAGTTTTTTTTCAGAACTACCCTTTCTTCTTTGAAAAAAAAATTTAAAAAAAAATTCAAAAACCAATTTAAACGTTATTTGTGGTAAAAATATGAGAAAACCCCAAAAAAAATGTTTTTTCTATTTTAATCATGATTATGAAGTGTTTAAGTTAAAAAAACAACACCCTTTAATTTTTTTTCAAAAGTTTGGAACAAAGAAACGGTTCGCTAGATCGAGATGAAACTTCACAGGGTTCTTCTGGGTATATCGAACTGTAAAAGTCATGCTTAACATTACTCATTTTGTGAATTTTCTAATTTAGCCGTCTTTTTCTAAAAAACCATAAATTACCCTTTGTTCCTGTTTTTTAAAATTCGTGTAAAAGATGAAAAAATTTTTTTCTCAAATGTTTCCAGTTTTTGAAACAGCCCTTCAATTCTCTGTACGACCATTTGTCGTCGAGATATCGATGATTGAAGACAAAACGATCATTTTCCATTAAAAGTCTGATATTTCGATGAAAAATGGTCGTATCAAATTTAAAAAAAAGGAAATTGAAGCTGAATAAACAAGCTATCTGGTCCAGGCAATGGCTTAGCTGGAAAAATGTTTCCAAGTAGCATTTAATTATCCCAGGGCTATTGCTCCAATTGAATTAAATAAAAAAACCTAAAAAAATGTACTTGCACAAAACATAAAATAACTCATTTTCCGATACGTCGTCTAGATTTTTGTGGGCAGTAAAAAAGGAAAAAAAAACATTTTGCCAACTTAGTGTCACTTCTTTCGAGTTACTTTATTGGTAATATAATTCTACTAATAATTTTTTAACGTTCAATCTCTAATTCGACTGGAGCATTAAGACTATAGCACTTTTATAATACTTTTAGCTTTTTTCAGTGTAATTATTTTCAAAAAATGAAACTAATTAGATTTCATTTACGAGGAATTATTAATTTAAAGAAATATTGTGTTTACTCTCAAACGGAACGAATTATCTATTNCTGCATTGGAAAGAGATAAAGAATAAGAGATTTCGGCTTTTTAGAATCCTTAACAAACCATATTTAGGTAGGTTTCGTTGAAAGAATTAAATATTTAGCCGATAATTGATAATAAATAAATTACTTAATTTAGTACCACAACAAACACTAAAAATCAAAATAACTCGGAAACGCACATGGATTTCGAAACAGAAGGGACATTATTTTTGTTAAACTGTATGTAGATAATGAAAATAACAGTTTTAAAAAAAAAAATAGTCATAGGCGTAGAAGTTCTGTTTAAGAAAGCGGTTGAGCACCCCCTCCACTCCGCCATTGTGCAAGTTTCTGAACATTCTTATCGCTTGTTTTATGCCCCTTAATTAATAGGCATTATCTCCCAAACATGAAAAAAATCTAAGCATTCGTTTATGTTATAATGAAAATTCGAGAAAAAAAAATTATATTCAACACCCTGTATCTCGGAAATGAAGCCTTCTACGACATATGTTTATAGGAACTTTTCTTTTTAAAAACATGTGTTCTATCTCCTGATAAAGTTTGTCTACGAAAAACTGACTCACCTGTATAATGTGTGGAAAATTGCTATTATATGTTCATTTGGCCAACAACATATTTTAATTATTTATGTCCAGAAACAATTTTATTATATTGATGGTAAATTTCGCCCCAAAATGCCATGTTGTAATATTATTTCTCTCTCTTTTGCAATCGTAATATCAATGATTAATAGAAGGTGCCTATAATAAATTAAAATTCCAAATTCCGCATTGATGCACTGCACTGTTTTGCAATTTGTCAACCACCTGTCAACAGCCGCGATTTATTGCCCAGTGCAACTGTATTTGTCTTTTGTTTGCCCGCATTCGCATTCTTCAACTGGGCGTATACATTTCTACCACCTCCACGTTTAGTTCGACCAGACCTGTATATAAGTATGGCTTAATAAATATGGCAACAAGTTTTTCAAATATTTCAATGCAAACGTAACCCTTTAATTTTTTTCAAAAGTTTGAAACAAAGAAACGGTTCGCTAGATCGAGATGAAACTTCACAAGGTTCTTCTGGGTATATTGAACTGTAAGTCATGCATAACATTAGTCATTTCGTGAATATTTCTAATTTGGCCGTCAATTTTCTAAAAAACCAAAAATTACCCTTTAATCCTGTTTCTTAAAATGAAAAAATGAAAAAAAATTGCAAAATTTTTTTGTCGCGCTATTTCTTAGAATTGCATGATAACCGTAGCTCCTAAAAAATTTCGACCAAAAGATCTAAAAACTGGAATCTTAGAGCTTCAAAATGCTTTTTTTAATTCCCCATACGATCATTTTTCACCTAAATACACAATCTGTTAAAAATAATGGAAAATTTTCAGAAATTATTTTAACCCTTTAATTTTTTGCATTAGTTTGTGTCTAAGGCTCTCTCTATAATTTCGACGGCGAAGTATAACAACACAGACAAGAAGTGCTGATATTACAGAAAATGACTACTTTATGTGTTACATGTCCCAACTAGCATTTAATTGTACCAGCCATATTGCTCCAGTTGAATTAGATCGTTAAACCTGAAACTTGGGACAATTTGTTTATAACGCTGTTTTGCATGGCCTACTTGTTAGTTGTAAAGGGCAACATAATTTCAACTTTTTGAAATTTTTCTTTTTTGATACGTTGCTTTGGATCAATTAGATTATATATCTACGATATTAACTACTAAAATTAACTTTTAGTAATTAAACAATTGGTTGCAACAAAACGAACGAAATTAATTGACAAATGCCTGGAGCAACAATTTTATGGTCAATCGAATCGGCCTTTGGCACACATGTTGGTCATTGGATTAACTATCTATTCCATTATGTATTTTATGTTTTTTTTTATATATATATATACGTGTGTTTAAATATTTGTTAAAATGTAATTTCTGTTTTTTACAGCTTGATCTGACGTTTCTTATACATTTTTTATCTATCTATATATCCATAAATTTCATCAACATTCATTGTTTTTTGCAATAATAATGTGCAATTTTCGAAAACTGATTTTTGCGCGTTTGACCTTTATTTTACAGTTAAAAAAATGGTGAAATATGACTTCAGGTACCTTCAATTGTAGGTAATTTAATTGCCTGCAACATAAAACGACTCATTTTCCGATAGGTTGTCTAGATTTTCGAGGGCTATAAAAAAGGTAAAAAACACGTAAATCTGCCACTTATTTGCAATTAGATTTCATTTACGTGGAATTATTAATTTAAATAAATATTGTGTTTACTCTCAAACGGAACGAATTATCTATTGAAAACCATGTTTTAAACATTTGAATATAACTGTTATAAGTTTGCCTTTATTACAATTTTATTTAAATTTAATAAGTAATAATGACTTGACAAATATGGAGGTATACAGCGGAATTATCTGGAAACTACTGAAACGGCTTTCAAAAATATTAAAAATTCCATTACAAAAAAAAAAAACTTGCCTCTAGCAGTCAAACTTGAAATCGTACGCCTTTTACGCCCTATCTTTTCATAGTTGTGTTCGAAACCCGAAATCCTGTGCGAGACCCTCATAACGAAAATTATAAACGAGCTGGCCAAGGACCTGGCTGAAACGGAAGACAAGATGGTGGACAGCTTCATCATAATCAGGGTGTGCCAGCTCCTGGGGTTCGTCGCGATCAAACAGCTCGAGTACCTCGACGAGACTGTCTACAAGGAACTGAAGAGGAGGAACAACATCAGGGAGGAGCGGAAGGAGTCCAAATTAACGAACTGCGGCGGCAGGAAATGTAGGAAGAAAAAATCTATAATTTCCGCCTCAACGGCAAGCGAGTCGTTGATGAATTCTTCTGTCGTAAGTTAGAAGTGATTTTAATTAAACCGATAGTTTTCGAATTTGGTTATTTCTTAGATAGAAGATAGTACTTTGGATGGGGCTCAAGCCGAGGACACGGACGCGGAGTTCATACTGAACGTGTTGGAAAACGACGTAGTCACGGGTTCCGGGGGTTTGGGGAAGTTAGCGTACATCATTAAGGGCATATGCGAGCGGCCCAACATTTACGATGACGTTATGGTACAAGGGACTGCGGTGATTGCTCTGATCAGGTATTTATACTGAGAAAAAGCGTTTATTTGTGCACTCGTCTCTCCGTGTAGGATTTCGCAAATAGGTGAGATGTAAGGAGCGTTTTTGTGATATCGCATTTTTGCGATGTTTAAGAGAGAAGAATGTTTTCCTCGTCGAAATTTAAGAGATGCCTTTTTTGAATCTTTACAAATTTCTAATTGTAAAAAGCCAAGAGATCCTTTTCGTTAATAGAATTTGCATTTTAATGACAAAAAAAAATTCCAATGGCTTGCCCGTAACTTTTAGGAAAATGTAATCGAGGGAAAATTAATGTGGTCATATTTCGAGAAAGAAGCCTGGCGACTGTGCCGTTTTTTGGGAAATGACTATGAGATCTACGAATGGGTTGCACTAATTACATTAAAAAGTGATCTCGGTCAAAATTGGAAATTGCTGTGGATGTTTTCAACAATATCGTCGCATGAAACTTTGTATTTGTCCTCACAGGGGCGACACTTAGACCAATTAAATTGTTGAAAATACCCCGTTTTCTGCCAAAATTTGGTTCAGTAAACAAAGACACGAAAAAATTATGGAAAATTCCTTAGAATTGGGTGAACTGCTTTACCTCGGCTGAATGTTTCAAAATGGCGTCCAAAGTTCGCAAAAAGCAGTTTTTTCCATTTTAGAGAAAAGTTGTAGAGCTTCTTATAACCAAAAATTTTGTTTGTTATTGCAAAAAAACGCTAAAAATCACATTTTTTAAATTTTTTATCTTTAAAACAAAAAAAGATTTTTTTTAGGAAACTTTGAGAATGTGTAGTATGTATTTGGTAAGAAAAATAGTGCATTCTTGTAAAATTGCAAAATATTTGATAGTTTTTGCGAAAACTGAGTTTTTCGAAATAAAGACATTTTTTTCAAGTTTCAATAAAACGTATAATAATACAGTTACGTGACCCATCTTGTACTTAAAATTTTCTCTAAAAGTTGTACTTTGCTGTGCAAATTGTGCGCATATTGCAAAATAATTGGAAATATGTGAAAAATCTACCGAAAGTGAATTCTTTTTTTGGGTCAAACAAAGAAGTCAAGGTTTCGGTAGATTTTTCGCATATTTCCAATTATTTTGCAATATGTGCACAATTTGTACAGGAAAGTATAACTCTTAGAGAAAATTTTAAGCCAAAGATAGGTCACGTAAGTGCATAATTGTAATATTTATTGAAACTTTTTTGTTTTTATTTTGGAAATACTCAATTTCTATAAAAACTATCAAATATTTTGTACTTTTACAAAAATGCACTTATTCCACTTACCAAGGACTACATATCTTTTTTCGACTTAAAGATATAGAAGTATTAAAAAAATGCGATTTTAATCTTTTTTTGTAATAACTAACATCGGGCTGGGCTCAAAATTTTTGTTATAAAAAATTCTATAACTTTTGTTGAAAACATGTATTTCTGAAATGTTTAGTTTTTTTTTAAAGAAAGAAAACTGTTGTGTTAACATTTATCCGGGGTAAAGTTCATTCAATTCTACGGAAATTTCCCTAATTTTTACGTGTCTGAGTTTACTGAACTAAAGGAGGAGGGCCCCTAAGGTTGGTTTTTGGCCTAATTTATTTTTGGCTGAAAAAATCTGAAAAATTTCTTTTAGTACCTACTAGCAATACTGAATCGTTTCCACCCTAAACGGGCCAACCCCCTCACCCTCCTTACCCCTCCACCCCCTTAAATGAGATGACACATTTACATTGATTAAAAGGAAAAAGAAAAAATCAATAATAATTATACATACATTGTGCATATTTGATTAGCTACTTTGAATTTCGTGATTCTGAATTCATAATTGTAATCAGTGATCCAAGAAAGTTTCTATAAACAAATATTTGAGGATTATGAAGATCTTTTTAATTTTTTTGTCCGCCATATGGAATACATACGCCTTCAGATTCGTAATTGGAGACCCAAAAAACCCCACTACACAAAAATTCATGCATTTTAAAGACAATTTAATTTTTCTGTCCGCCATATTGAATCCGCCATTTTGAATTTTGTGATTTAGAGTCCAGATTCGTAATCATAGACCCAAAAAACCTCGTTACAAAAAAATTCATGCATTTTGAAGACATTTCAATTTCCTTGTCCGCCATGTTGGATCCGCCATTTTGAATTTCGTGATTCTGAGACCAGATTCGTGATCAGCGACCCAAAAAACTCTTCATATGTAAGATTCATAGGCATTGAATGTCTTTCGCATCTCTAAGCTCTTTAAAAATTCCACTAATAAGCGATGGTTTCCCTGGCGTTTAAAGGGGGTGGAGGAGGAAAGGAGAGTGAGGGAGTTGGTCCGTTTAGACTGGAAACTATTCAGTATTGCTAGTAGGTAATAAAAAAAAAATTTTCCACTGGCATGTTTATTGAGAATTGTTTTTTTACATCCTTGACTTGCCGTTTTGCATCCTTGTTGTTCCTTGTTTCTGGTGTTATTCTCTGATGTTAGTAAATTTTATTTGTTATCGAGGCTGTGACGGTCTTATACGGGGTGTCGCTAAAATGTCTGGACGAAATCCTACCACATATTCGCGATGCCCAAATATGAAGTTACAATTTTATGTTAGTTTTTCTTCAATAACCGCATTCATAGTTGTAGTAAATATTTAGAACTTGGTATAGGGGAGTTTTCTGGCCGGGGAAATTGAAATTTGGTCTTGAATTGCTGTAAATTATTAGATGGCGACAATACGGTAATTTACATGCATTTAAATTGTCACAACTTTTTTGTACCATGGTACGTGTATTGAATTATTTGTAAAAAATGAACAAAATAACCGTTTTTTGGATATCTGGATTTAAAGGTTTAGGTAATTACATCTTCCTTCATATTTTTTATTTATTTATTATTTTTATTTATTTAAATTTATTATTCTTTTTTTTCTCATCTTTTGTAATTTTTATTGTTTTTGGCCCGTTGGCTTCTACATTCCTGTCGTTGTTGGCCCATTGTTCTTTAAATTTTTTATTGTTCTCGGCTCATTGGCTTCAAAACACACTACAAAATTTTAGAACTAATTTGAACCACTCCTGGATAAAGTGGGAAGGAAGGTAGTGGTGAGTTTATGTAATGAAACATTATATATATACTTATTTTTAGGAAAAACATTGGAGAATAAGTATTTTCTATTACAAATTTAATATACCAAGTAGGTGGCGCCCTCTAATAACACAGCCACATAAAAAAGTTGTCTATACTTTTCATGCAACATAAGTTATACGTAGTATTTTTGCCTCCTGATCACGAATCCGGTGTCAGAATTAAACTATCACATCACGGGAATTTCCTAACCTCGAAGAACAGGTCAAAAATAGCAAAAATTCACGAAAAAGTAAAATACAAAAATTTTTTTTCTATATTCAAATTTTCATTTATATGGTTAAGACCCCGTCGAACGTGAATCCGCGGGCAGAATTGATGGTTTTTTTCCTAACCTCAAAAAAAAACAGGTCAATTAAAGGTCAGATATCACGAATTTTCAAAAAATAACAGATTCTCGCCAAATTTGGTATACAGTGGTTTTCGGGGTCAATTTTGCAAAACTCAAGAAGGCGGATCCAAGATGGCAGACCAAATTTTCAAAAAATAACACATTCATACCAAATTTGGGATACGGGGGTTTTCGGGGTCACTGATCACTAATCCAAGATCAGATTTACAAAATTCGTTTTTAAAAATTTAATCAATTACTTACCTATGTACTTTAATAAGGTTAAAACATGATTGGGTACTCAGGTTATAAAGTAAACAAAAATATTACAAAATAAATTTCGCAATTCCTCGAATTCGTAATCAGCGACCCCAAAACCCCCCCGTGTACCAAATTTGACACGAATGTGTTATTTTTTGAAAATTCGGTCGGCCATCTTGGATCCGCCGTTTTGAATTTTGCAAAATTGAGCTCGGATCCGTGACCAGCGACCTCGAAAATCCCCGTAAACCAAATTTGGCGCGAATCTGTTATTTTTTGAAAATTCGTGATTCGTGACCTTAATTGACCCGTTTTTTTGAGGTTAGAAAAAGAACCATCAATTCTGACCGCGGATTCACGTTGGGCGGGGTCTTAACTATATAAATGAACAATTGACATTATTATTTTTGACCTGTTCTTTGAGGTTAGGAAATTACTTTGGAGGAGGCAAAAATACTAAGGATAACATATGTCGCATGAAAATTACAACTTTTTTTTGTGTGTGGCTATGTAATTTTTACCAAATTCGAGACCGGATTTCAATTTATTATGCCAGAAAACTCCACTATACAAAGTTTATGTATTTAATAATAATAACTATTATTATTGTCGTTATTATTTTTATTATTATTTTACGATTGTATTTAAAAAAAATGGCGAGAATGCAGGATTCTCTCTTCTAGATACATGTTGGTGTCCAGCAAGTTCTGTGCCCAGAACATTCAGCTGTTGTTCACGATTTTCGAGAAAACGTCGCACCCCGAAGTAAAATGTTCCATCCTAGTCCACTTGTCGGACCTGTTGACTAGATTCCCCAACATAATCGAACCTTGGTCGCCCAGGATATACCTAGGGTACGTGTGACCATCATTTCACCGATACCTCTCTGCAGTTCCGTGTACTAATCGATTCTTTTAGGCTGAACGACCCTTCAGACTCGATACGTAAAGCGACGTTCTTCACCCTGTCGAATCTGATACTGCGCGACATGATCAGGTCACACAGTCATATCGCGGAGATGGTCACTTGCCTGGTGGACGACGACGCGGAACTGAGCGGGATGTGCAAGACCTTCTTCCTCACCCTGTCCCGCAAGGAGAATAATCTGTATAACGTTCTGCCGGATATATTCTCGCACCTCATGGAGATGGGTTCTGCCTCCGAGGACAACACCAGGGATATAATGAAGTAAGTCGTTTCGGGCCATTTTGGCGTGTGCCGGGATCTCGGGAACTGTAACATAGAGAAACGCTCGAATTCGGGAGGTCGCTCTCTGTCAGTAGGCGTCACCAAAATGGCTCCTCCGCGTACGGTAACATTTATTTCTCTCGGTTGGTCGCAGGTTCCTGTTCGACTTGATGGACAAGTCAAAGCACATGGACAGCCTCGTGGACAGGTTCTGCTGCAAATTCAGGCTGACGGAGGTCCTGCGCCACCAAAGGAACATCGCGTACTGCCTCACCCTCATCCAATACAACGAGAAGGCTTTGAGGAGACTCAAGGAGAACTTCCCGTTCTACAAGCACCTGGTGCACGACGCGGAGATCTACGCCATGTTCAAGAACATCATGCAGAACTGCAACAAGACGCAAGTGGGAAAGGCCGATCTCAAGGTAGGTTGGAGTTGTCGCAGGTGGCCGCTAGTCATACCGCAATGGCATTGATCGGTGATTACGGTGACGAATTGTACATATTGTAACGGCAGAGCGGACATCCTAGATTGATATGGAATGGCCACATGTGAAAGTTCGTTTTGAACACTCGTAGGACTGACGTAAACAATAAACCACAGTAATAACAGCGTTAGGACAACCGCAGTGATACCGAGTAAATTTGTCGATTTGGCTGAAGCTACCTGGAGGCGCATAAAAGACTTGTGAGGGCTCTATAGCAAATAGCCAACCAGCACTACATTTTTATAGATTTTACTACACAGTTTGTCTGTGTAAATATGAATTGATGCTCAAATAACAGGCTTTCCTCCATTCTAACGCAAATTTTCTATAAAATGGAGTTAGTTTGAAACTCAAATTACTTTTTGTTGTAAAGAAATTTGTAATTCGCCGCTTTTGTTACAAATTTCTTTGCAACAAAAAATAATTTGAGTTTCAAACTAAGTCCATATTATAGAAAATCTGCGTTAGAATGGAGGAAAGCCTGTTATTTGTACATTAATTCATATTTAGACAAACTGTGTAATAAAATCTATAAAAATGTATTGCTGGTTGTCTATTTGCTGTAGAGCCCTCTTAAGGTACACTTTAATAAGCATGTTGCAATCATACAACTATGTAGTGATTTTCAATCAGACTTTTTTTCTGGAAATCTCTAAATATTTTATATATTTTTTGGCGATATCGTAAATGTACACTGAGAACTTTGAAATATTTATAATTCGACCTCAGTGTTTTAGTTTCATATTGCAGGTTAAAATGCACAGTGACGGGTTCAAGATTGAAAAAAATTTATACGATCTTCAACCGAATTTTAACTTTGTAACAAAGAAAACTCTTAAAAAAATTAATTTTTGCAAGTTAAATACTATCACAGTTCAAAGTAGACATTTTCGTTAAATTTTCAGATAATAAAGTGAGTATTTTTTGTCAACTAGCTGCAAACTACTATGTTCTAGAACGTGAAATCAATCTGTCATTTTTTCAAAATTTATGATACATGTAAATTGAAAGTGCCGATATTGCAATGAGTACCGTACTAGAACGCCACCCCCATGTCGTTTAATGGTGGTAATATCG